AAAAGCGTATAATGGCAAAAAAACAGCGTGTCGCAAGCGTTCGATGGTTACCCTGACAAACGCTTGTATCTACCGTATAAGGCCTGCCACAGTCAACGTCAAACATCCGATTCCCGTTTTGGCATTCCATGCAGACACAGGGATTTTTTCTAAGCTTCAATAAGACCTAAGCCTACAATTTTAAGCTTAGGTTTCATTGTCGCTTCATCTTAAAATTCTCCCTAATATCTTCCCTGCAATTAACAGTAGAGTTCGGACTAACAGATTTAAGCAAAAGATTCCTTCTTAATGCTCTTTCTTCCCTAGCTGAGGGCACGTCAGATTGGTATATAACTCTAATGTTGTTGTGGAGCTGGTCGCAAAAATGTAGTTGTAAACAATTTTTGTCATTATTTGCAGGTTTTTCTGAATTATGGGAATTTCGAATATATATTTGAGCGTGTAGATTAACATTTTTTATAAGAACTATTAACTCATATATTTTTTATGTCCAATTATCTCATTATTTTTATCCACTTTGAAGTATTAACTGAGTCAAGGTATTCTGATATTTTTATCGGTCCACCCATTGTTATTTTAACCGTAACATGAATTATATAAATATTTAACGGACATGCCTTGCCATTTTAACCGATGTAAACCATGTAAATTTCTCATCGACATGTTAGCCATATGAAGAGTGAACGTCCACCATAACATTATGAGTCAAAAACTGGATCATTAATCATGCACCAGCGCAGAGAGTTCCTATTTATATTATTTAATTTGAAAAACCACTGGTCAACCAACATGCAATTAATTACCAGGCTTCCAAATTTTTCCCCATAGACTTCCTTTACTGAAAAATTGAAAGGATTAGAGGACATCATATGGAAAATTGTTATCAAGTAATGTAAAGGCCCCGATCAAATAGCGTAAAGGTTGCAGCTGAATTGGAAATATCCTTGTAGTTTTCATTAACAGAGGACATTGAGATTACTCCAGCTGGGAGAGCATTTCATAGTGGAGTAACTGTTAAAGAGAAGTGAGGGCATCCTGATATCAAAGCACATAGAATTCTTCTTAAGGTGAACGTAAATAATCACAGGTGATGGAGTCTGTACTCGCTAGACTTACATTTGAACTCTATCACTCACTTGGTTTCCCCCTTTTTTTATTGGTCTAGCAGATTTGTATCACTTTTGAAGAGAGAGAGAGCAAAGAGAGTGTGAACGTCAAGCTGGAGCCATGCGCACATTCTAAGCAGTGTTAAGAACAACATTGATTCTACTGCGTGAAGTTGTCCATGCATAAAGTGAAGAGTTGCGCTAGCCTTGTCTGGACCCCTTACGTAGTTTTAACGTGTATATAAGCGCTTGGTGCTTACAAATACAAGACTAATCTTTGAGAAGAAAATAAGGAGTGGATTTTCATGGAGTCTCTGAAATACTAATCCAAAGGTTAGCTGAATATCTCACAGACCCTAAACTACCACTATAATTCAGAGGTACTTCACGCTTCCAGCCTCCTAGTTTAGTTGGTCTATGAAGCTGGCACAAAAGACCTTTGACACTTCTAAGCTATTGAGATCGAAGCCACATGACTTATTTAGAGCACAGATCCCTTGGCTTGTGGGCTTCTTCCTGGCCACGAATCAGTAGAGATATTTGGGGTTAGCTTGGATTTTAGCTGCTAGCTTGGCCTGAAAACATACCCTATTACTGCAGACTCTAATGACTCTCAATGCCAAGTAAAAGCTAAGATTAGAATCCTTCATGGAGACTTTCAAATTGTTATGGGCTCACCGTTTGGCCGATAGCAAGCGTTCTATGACTCGTCTAACACAGGGTCTTCGCATAAGTTGTGGTACATTGTATTGGATAGCATGCTGAATCGTATTCTTCACTGTCCACCAGTAGTCATCCACTGTTAACCACCGCTCTCATCACCTGATTCTCCTCGACAGAAGCATGGGTTAACTGGATTTTCGAGTGCATGCTTACGCTGTGGCATATTGTGTTGGATAGCATACTGAATATGGTCTACGATGATATTAGTACTGCTACAATAATAGACTCAACCCTAAAATTGTACATTTATTAAAAAATTCCAAGGACCCTTCGACAGTAAAAAAACTTGATGAGTTTCTGCGTTATTCTGTCAAACTTGCGGAAGTGAATGCGAAGATTACCTTTCTTAACGAATGTGTTAAACTGCACAAATATCCTAAATACTACTGAAAAATTCTTCGACAGCTTTGAAAATGAATTTGCCGAAAAGAGAACTCTTCGCTGAACTGATCTTTCTTTCTTATTTAATTGTACATTTCTCATGATGTGACCACCTAATCTATAAGATCTTACGTGTTACATCATTATCTACACTGACACATTCGTATTGTAACAATCATCAATATGCGGTAAAAAACACATTTAGGCTGGAGATATAACAATATATTTATTATAGATAAAAAACTGTTACGTAAGTAGGACCACAGTGATAAAGAACCTTGCCACTACAAGAAATTACATTAAAATGCTGTCCGCGGTTTTAACGAGCGACAAGCTTGTGGCAAAATTCTTATTTTTGTGTCATATCCCATCAGTAGTCTGCACCATTAGCGGTTTGTGATGCTCCTTTCCTCTAATTTGTTCTTTGCTTGTTTATTTTACTAGAAGTAGGGACCTGGGTGTGATCCTGATTACTTGGAGGTGAATTCACTTTTGGTTTTCGTGTTGAATTGTCCATGCTATACATACCCCTGTGGGGTTCATTGTCTAATTTCGTGTTGAGCTTTTTTATAGTCCTGTTTCTAAGATCGGGGAACGTCGACTTATTATTAACCTCTGACATAAGATCTCTAGTTCCGCTAGTCGCCCTTGTGGTGAACAAGATGAACATGCAGTATGTATTCTTGTGAGCGTCCTAATATATGAATATGCTAGTGGAAAGGTGAGTTTTTCCTGTTATTAGTGAGAGATCAGTAATGTCACGTCAAGCTCGAAGAGAACGCCAACCATTTAGTAGTAAGCTCTATGTCTTTTTTGTAGTAATGGATTCATTTCTTCATATCCCCTAAACTTTTCAATGCCCAATTTTTTCAGATTATTAATATCACGTTATTTAGTATTGGTTTTAGTTGAGTATGAATGACCGGATTGGTCCATACAGAAGAGACGCCATTCTTTTAGAACCGAAGTTTGCTAATCTTGTCTTAGTATATTAGAGCATTACATCAACCGTCTTCACTATTTACCTCATTCTATACCGGGATATATCCCCTAACTCTTCGTTCTTCTATTGGTGAAAGATAACTTTATTCCTGACTATACAAATTAAGTAACATAATAAAGTCATAAGAATGCCCAAATTTCACATATTCATGCCACCGAAATACAAGTACTGATTCATTAAGTTAAACGCAAAACAGTATCTATATAACTGAAATGTTCGAGTGAAGTACGTTTGAAGTGTCTATGAATAACAAAAGCACTTCACATTCAAATAAGTCTTATATTTGATGCTATGCATCAAAGGACTAGATATAATCATTGTTTTGCTTATGGAATATCCAAACAAATTTTCATTGTCTTTGGATGATTTGCAAAAAGTAAGTATAACGTTAACTTCAGTTCTGTTTCTAGAAACTTGTGAAACCAGTGGAAATGACTATTATTGTTAGGGCTTCCCTTACCAAAAAATTATATCAGCTATGGCTTATCTGTGCAGTTTATTCCCGTGGTGTACCACCTGGAAAGCTTCACTTATAATATTTTGGAATGATGAATTGATATGGACGTAGCTCATCTCTAGTACTTGATCAACCTTATGCTCAGTTATACGGATGACTAGGATCAGCATATCTCTCATTCCAGAATCCTTGTCAAATAGCTGTCATAATAATGCTAAATACAATAGCTCTCTTCTTCCACCTAAATAAGAACGTCGTTTGCGTTCCTCCTATTAAATATAATTGTCATTAAGACCACACTGCAGAATTTTGACAGCGAACTGACCAAAAAACATTTTTGACGACACATTGAATATTGAAAAGCTGTCACAACCGGGTCACGAATGACATAATACGATCTCCTCTGTGAGTGTGTTACTTCGATTTGTCGCCGATATTCATTTGCCAATTCAACTAGCAATATAGGACAAGTCATTCTCATTAATGTTAATCTGGAACTACAGTTTGTATAAGCAAACTTATTTCGCCTGACCAATAGCACTAACCCACTTGGAATGAGTACGACTAATGTGACTCCTTAGCTCACACTGTGTTATACTGAATTGGTATCAATAATGATTTTCCAACCCAGGTAACTGTAACTAAGTGATCAATCTACTCTGTCCCAAAATACAGTCGGAGAACAGACAGCAACAGAATACGAGAGTACAGATCAGTAACGTATGAGCCCAGATATGGATAGCTCAAAAAGCAAACTCCATCATGGATCTGCGTAAATTTTTATAATCTTCCAAATTATCAATAATTGGGAATGATCAGTTTGTAGGAAAACGCAAACAAACGACTGTAACACGCAGCATGATTATAGTGAGCAAAATTGTCAGTAATTTCACAGTTTGATATAATTTCAAACATCCGATAGCCTTCGTCAGTTCAAAACAATTAATGATGTCATTAAAGAATACTTGGTTCCCGCATCAGAACCGCAAAGCACTATTTCGCTTTTAAGTTCATGTGGATGTCTTGAAATAAGAACTCCAATTTTGCATTGTAATATAAATAACCATTCAGTTAAAACGTTGAAATCCTACTTTAATTAATGTATATTTTATTTCTTTAATTCTGTTGTATCGTTTCCCATTGATGGATATTTAACTCACCCCGAAAATGTACGGTTTCTATCTGTCTCCATTGTTTCTGGTGTTCATACGTAATGCCATGTCTATGCCACTTATTCCTGCTATTGAAATTCTTAACCTTGCACAGCAGATTTAAAAAGTTAACATGAATTAACTAAGATGTTCAACGAACACAACTAGAAGTCATTCGTGAAAGCATATCATCCATTTAATCAGAAACGCAGGTTTTGTTACAAGTAGTGAAATTACTTGGTTTTCCAAGAATAAAACAGCTGGAGATCATATCAAGAGTGTTGGAGACGGATAGAATAGACGGATAAAATATTTCGAAATGGAAAATAGGTACTATAAAGATCAAATTACAAAGCACGTTATGTTCACCACTACATAAATGGTATAGATAACTAAAAGTAAACTCAATATGCCAAAACAAAATTAAAGAAACACAATCTAGATGTATAATTATAATGAACAGTGTTTGAAAAATTTGCTAACGGATATCGAAAATTCACCTTACTTCTGGTTAATCCTACATGCATTTAGTAATATTAGGTATCTATGCCTGAAAATAATGTAAAAATATGATAACAAAACATTTACGAGGTATGTAAAAAGTGAACAGGTGCTTCCAAAGAACGCTCCAATCCACCAATTAATACACACTCAACTTAAGTGGTCATAATAAATAAAACAAATTACCTTCCACTTCACATTCAACATAAAAGGATAGGTCAAGCAAACAAACAAACAATCAGTGTTATGAAATGTACAACGATGGTAAAGATGTGACAGAAATTGATTGTTACATCTTAAAATTTATATAAGGATTCAAAAGGTGCGATAAAATAAACAAAATAGAGAGTACTTAAAACCTACTCAAAAGGTTATGGTGTTACATTTACACGATAGAAATCTATTAAAGTATACTTTTCAAACTACTACAATGACAGAAGCTTATTAGGAAATACCATCGAATAGAAAATCGATCCACTGAAGTCGCACATACAGTAACAACCTACTGTAAAAATATAATGGTTAAAGGATAAACGAAAAAGATTTATTTACGGAAATTCAATAGGTAACGCTAATATACATAGAGTTCTGCTGTCGCTACAAAACTAATTACTAATTGTGATGAAAATTACCTTATCCATGGAAAGAGATTATAAATATTTGCATCAATTATATTATGAAGTTTCAAACAACAATTAAGATTTAATGAACAAATACCACACAAATTATTATCTAAAAATCAAATTTATTAAAGATTAATCTTAACAATTTAATAGGAGAATTGACAAGAATCAACGACTTTAGACTATTCATCAAATATTACAATTGTAAAGATTCTCATTTTGATTTTTATTAAATAAAATATAAAACAATGTAAGATATTGTTTTCCATTGTCAAAAAAGGGAACTCGAATAACTTCAAATGATCTTTATAGTTAAAATTAGTCAACATAGACAATAATATAAAGCAAAACGAAACCAAATCACTTACAAAAATATAGTGTATCACATGAACAAATTAGGCACGAAGTTCATATTAACATTTATTTTTAAAAAGGTAAGAGTTTTCAATTTATGCGGATCATTGAAATTGAAACAATTCGCCGATGATGTTTAGGAATGACTTACAAAGAAATAGTAACATACACAAAAAAATGCAGGAACGTTTCTTTGCTCTAATTATTCGACGAAAAACTGCGTATCCAAACCAATATAAACATGTAACATACATAAATTATTGGAAATATCTAAGATACGTAGGTTATCACCTCACTTTCAGTTTGTCCATTTGTACAGATTTGATATGTAAATATGATGTAAGAATAAAAGTAACAATTCAAAATCACTATTGATTGTATTCTAAAGAAACTTAAATATTGATATTTCAAGAAAATTATGACTTAAAAGAGAATTTCTGATGATCCATACAACACGTATCCAACCCAACCCACAATACTAACGAAAGCAGTCATTATAAAGATCACAGACCATTGGTTTGTAGCTTCTAATATATAACCAACCATATAGACACCTGCAAATCCTGGAAATGTACCAACGGTAGCCATAATTCCTGTCACGAACAAAAAATCAACAGAAATGAAACGATGGAAAATTATACAATCAAGAAGTATGAACACAAATTTCTTATCCGACTGAGAATTATGAATGATAGAGTTTAAAATATAGACAATTTAGTTCCGAATCGCCGGTCCAAAAATCCCGCTGCAGAATCTGAAGGATTAGGGTTCGATCTCTCAGGTGATGGGGGGTTCACAGAAGTGAGTTGCACAATATGACGAAACATTTGTGTACAGGGACACCCAGTATTCAGTGGGACTCTATATGATGTTATTTCTAAAGGTAAAAAACTTTCCCCATAAACATTAGCAACCATAATGTGAACGCATGTGCACTAGCGACTAATTTCGAAATGAGTTAATGAAGTTGCAGAGAAATGTCGTGCTTGTGTAGTTCAGACATAAGGAAGTGAAATAGCCATTATCAGTTGAATTAGATGATCATCATATTACACCATGAGGTGATCGAAACAAAGTGTGAACCGATCGATATCGCGCTGGATTCTTGATGAGATCGTAGGTGTGTACTGACGAGCCTCACAATAGAAAGAAACAGCAGTCAAAAACTTCTCGGTTTTTATTCGTACAGTAACTAGTGTATAACCATCATAAAAATTACCTATTGATTATAGTCTAATTGTTTAAACCAGCCGCAAACATATCATGAATTGATTGAAAAACAGAAATGTATGAATATTTAAATATTGAGTGATTCCTACATATTTTTTTGCAAGACAGTAACCGAAAAAAAACCTACCGTACAACTGACCACCATGATTGGGAGCCATATCTTGAGGATTTAACAATACACCACTGCAATGAAAGCCTAAACAGGCTAATGCAAAAGCCATACAAATTAGTGACCCATAATAATTGTCCAGACATGATAAGATGATAAGAAATAAAGATGAACCCAAAAGAACAACTGTCTGTATAATATAGAAAAAAAATTAGTATGCATATTATTGGAAGATCAAGGAAAAAACCAGAGACGACGTAACTAATTGTTAAAAAGAAATACACAATTGTAAAATGTTTTTCTGCATAGTCTACTAACACTGTCTCTCATAAGCTTATGGTTTCGAGGATTGACACCCTTAAAATTTATAAATTATGCAAAAAAGAACTTAACACAAATATCTTAAAAATATTTCAATTACCAACTACTTCTACTATACACACACGGTCGAGCTTCACTGCTGACGGTTTTTCATCAGAGCTCCGAGAATTACCTCTCGTCATCAGTGAGCACATGATTATTATTAGTATATGGATGGTTTATAGACGTTTACGAGTCTCATAGCACGCGTAATCAATTAACCTTAGTTAGAAAACCACTGAAAACCAGGAAACATTGGACAATATATTTCATAATAGTATGGGATTCCCCTGCAGTGTGAGTCCAGGACCACGTCGAAGATTGGACCTGGGATGTTTTATACTCAATCTAAGTCCTTAACCCTTAAACTATTGAGCCAAGATCAACCGTCTAAAAAAGAACACCATTGAAACTTTATCTGTTAGAATTCTCTTAGAAAAAATTTGTTAATCATTGTTAGCAAAGTCAGGTTAATTTGAAATTAAAGTTGTTTAATTCAATATTACTAGCCAATATCTATAACCAAGTTCACGTAGCAAACTCTAAACAATCATTTTAGTGTGATAGTTATCTCCAATAATGTTATTATGTGTTACACTATATATCTAAATCATTCTTGTTTGAACATTCGAAACAGTAAAGTATAATATTCTGCTTATTATTATTATTCTGTAAATATATACAACTAAAAATGTTTCGCTTTTTTAAACCATAAACTGATTTCCTTTGAAGAACCAGTTGCGAAACGAAGCAGGTAGCTGTTTACTTCATGTTTTAGCGGAGCATACACTCATGAACTTATATCGATCCAAGATCACACCCAATGAATCTGACAATAAGCGATATAATTGTGAAATATTATTGTGGGATTTAAAAGGTCCGGATTCTTAACTTTAGTAAATTGGTAATGTACCATAGGTAAGCTATAGTCTCAGTCCCAATAAGTTGATTTAATAGGTTACAGTTTCTCATCGACACAGTGTGAAAATTTATTTATACAAGTAGGTCATTATCAAACAGCATGATCATAACTTAGTAATATGCTTGTGATACATTATGTTTGCAGCCAATACGTGCTCTTTCCCTCTAGTTTCCAATAATTTTTCTGTGTTTTTTTATAAGCGCTAGCTTAGCCAATCGTTTAGTATCTACAAAAATCAGTATATTATACAGCAAAACATTACGGCAATATGTGTACGAACTCACCGTAATTATTTTCCTCACTATTGTTACAGATACACCTAAAAATATTTTAAATTAAGTGTAGATAAATTGATAAGGTTTGTAATACAATAATCCTTGAAATAAAACTAAATGGATATCTGGAAAGTTTAAATAAGAATGAATCATAGTAAATTTGATACTTATTTGTTAAATTTACAATTCGGACTGTACTATTCGAACCTTGCACAAAATATTGATTAAGCAGTGGTCTGCATCAACGTCCAAACCGATTATGTAGAGCGAAGTAATTGAAGAATCGATTACTGTACTTGTCTTGTAAGTCTCATTAGTCCTGAAGAGTCCGCTTGTTTCATTTGTGGCGTAGGTGTGGTGTCCGTTTGTCAACAAAAAAGCTGTGCTGAAGTCCGCTTTTCATAGCTAAATGACTGTGAAACAAGATGTACGAAGGTAGAATACATGCTTAGACTGAGGGATTCGATACTGAAAGTCTTTGAAATATTGCCTAATTTTCGTGGAACAACCGACTAAACAATCTTATAATTGTGTAGAGGTGTCGAACCGGTTGGTGAGGTAGTGAATCTTTATCGACTGAAACAGAACATGAGCTAAGTATGACTAATCACCACCTATCTTAACAGATGTTTACTGGTTTATGAGTATGGTGTAAGAGAGCTAAGGGCAGCCAACCCAAAAGATAATAAAAATTCATGAAGTTTCTGACTTTTAGTCTAAACCATGTTTGTAGATAGAGCCTACCTGGTTGGGGTCCGTGTGATACACGGTTTTGATTTCTTTGACATTCATCATAGTAATTTAACCTCGTCAATTTATTGTGACATGGCAACCTCAATCAATGCGCACTTGTGTTGATTTTTACTGAGGTTTTATAATCATAAAAAAGCATGCTTATTTTAGTGTGACATATCCTTAGTTGTTATTTGTTGATATCTTTTGAGAGAGATAAAACTTACAAAGAATCTGTTTTGTTTTTTTTAAATTATTACACATATGAATCATAGAACTTGTCTTTGTTAATAAATAAAATGAGACTAATTTCATTATTCCAATTTCACAAAAACCTATACAATCCAGAAAAGTGTGAAGGACTACAATATAAAGAAAAATGATGATTTATGTAAGCGAGAACAGTGAATATCATTTGCACTTAAGTAGGGAAACTAATAAACTGATTTTAAATTTAAATGAAAATAAGAAAGACCGTATCTTTGTAAGGATATGACCACCGAAATAGGAAACGAAAATGAACCCCTATTGCGCTTAAACAGGACTCATAGTTACAGAGTTTTACTAGTGGAAATGAAAAATAAATCAAGATGCTTTTGAACTAATGAACAGCATATTAAGCAACTTCGGGTACTGGCAACTAACGTTGGTCAATAATCGTCGACAAATTTATCAAGAGAATTCTATGACAAAAATATAATACAATTACCAGTTTTAATCCAGTGATCAGCTAAGGCACCAGCTAATAAAACAGATGGGAATATAATTAGCCATGGAACCATATTGAAAACCCAACTCTAAAAGATAAACGATTCAATTAGAGACAAGGATTACTTTGTAAAAAAACAATAATAAACTTCTGTAAAACAAAACAATAAGTAAACTGATTTTATTATCAATATAGGATTGTGAAGATTGCTGAATTTCATTGGAATCATGAACCGGTCAATATTCGGCCATCATTAAGTCCCATATTAGGGACGAAATGGATGTCCAGTGCCTCCAGGTCCTCAATGGTAAGTCTAGCATTGATCGGTTCATGATTCAAATGAAGATAATTTTAACCTCCGGAAAATTCCCATTGTATTAAAAACACAATTGTATGGACAAAGATTATTCTTTCCAATAATGTCTCATCAGGTTCTACAATTATCTCATATCCAAATTAATAATCCATAAAATTGGCCAGATTTAAGGCAGGGTACATCATTTGGAAATTGTGATATGTGAATTAAGAATTGTTGTTCGTTGTATCAAATCAAATCAAATCGTTCATGTTGGGGCTGATTCAAGTTAACAACTTCATATTAGTCAGCCCCAACATTAACAATTTGATTTGATTTGATATAACAAACAACAATTCTTAATTCACATATCACAATTTCCAAATGATGTACCCTGCCTTAAATCTGGCCAATTTTATGGATTATTAATTTGGATATGAGATAATTGTAGAACCTGATGAGAAATTATTGGAAAGAATAATCTTTGTTCAGATAATTTTATGTCGATGACTTCAAATCTTAAACAAACGTACAATATTCCCATCAATGTAATAGTTTTACAAATGTGATTTGGTGTGAAACTTGTACGAAGGATAATTATGATTAGTTACGTAAGTAAAATACCAATAATCGTAAATTATAACCAACTTTATCATTTCGACCAGTAAATCTATTAATTATAATTTTCAAATGTTCACTGTGGTATGATTATGGTAACGACTTATTTTCTGTTAATTTTTATTCTCGTAATGAATTAAAAACACATGATTGTAGAAAGTAATCAGAATTCTTGTTTACCAAGTAACTTTAACTATTTTTTACATGTTTTATACCAAATTACATATTTGATTACCCTTTTTATCGACATTAAAATAATGTGCATCTTTGTGTGAAGTCAGAACAGCAAACAACGAAATGAATGCTCATTTCATATTCAGCGCTGTATAATCTTGATTGTTATTGCTTAACACAGGAAAATTAATAAGAAACTAAGAGAAATTGATATGAACAGCCAATCAGAAGTAGCTTAATGTGAACGTCAGTTGATGGCAATGTGAACTGATCTAAAGGGCAAGTGCATCTCATTGGCTAGGAAATCAATCAATTTCCATGCTTTTTTTCAACTCTAATCAAAAATTTATGTTCGACATCGATTACTGTGTATTTAGTTGTGAAACACTATATTGACAATTATTCAAAAAATCAACAGTGCAAATGTTAACATTTGTGAACAGTCTAGAAAATAAATTACAGTACATACACAAACAACAACTACTATCAAGTAAAAAACTTTTTAAACTGAAATCTCACTTACTCTTGCATCGGGATAATTGTCGTGGAAATACGAAGGACACCAGTTGAGGATAATATAAAATGTATTATTATGAACAAAATTAGCCAAAAGCATAACCCTATAGACAAACACGGAAAGAGAACAACAATAAAGAATGTGATAAAAAATAAGGGTTATGAATTAAGACAGTTTGAAAAGGATATATAACTATGTTTGGTTTCGTACAAGCAAACCAGACCAAATCATACCATAAAATAAAAAATAACTGCACAAGATCAAACCAAAAAATGGCTGTGATTGTGAGAAATAGTAATTATTCTACAGGGTATAACTTAAAAATAGTAAATCGTATAATAATAGTCTGTAGGTCAAAACACAGCTTATAATAAGAGGAACATAAATATACATAAGATATTAGTCTATTGATAGCTCTCAGAAGTTATCCATAATTTAATCTTCGCCAGGACATAACAAACCTGTTCCTGCCATCTACATATTATGTTTTTATTTGTTTTATATACAATCTGTCCTTTATATATTACACCATTGAGTTAACTGGTTCTATGAATCCGGTGTTCATCTTGCTGTGCTAATGAGGTGTGGCATTTTGGACCGATGCACATATGTGCCTGGTCCTACGTTGCAACTAACTGACTGACTTTTATTTATTTTAACACACCATCATGTCTATTAAGCGTATAACCCATTCAGGCGCGTTTATGAAAAGTTTACGACCATTTACTGTAAAAGTTACAAAAAAGTACAATCAGAGACATCCTGGTGGCTGGCAATATACATTGAGAAAAATGAATATTATTCAGATGTCTATGCCTGAACTGCTAACATCTAACATCGGATCACTAAATATTCATCGTCAGGATCGATCAAGAAATAAGAAAACGAAACATGTTGAAATATTTTGTGCTAAGAATTCTATATTGTACCAAAAATGTAATATTGAATAAAGCCATTAATAATAATAATAATAATAATAATAATAATAATAATAATAATAATAATAATAATAATAATAATATACAACGATTGCACACTAAGTTGAGTCAAAAATCAATAAAAAAGGCAATAAACAATACGCTATTGAAAAAATAATTAGCTTAGATAATGTCATCAGTAGATGAAGATTGCTAGAACAATGATTAGCATAATACATTCTAAACAATCTGTTAAGAAAATTTATGTATGAAGAATAAAAGGTTAACTAGACAAATCAGATGATCTAAGAAAATAACGTTTAGAAAAACACAATGTGAAACTCAGCGAGCTGAATAATAAAACAACAATAATAACGTAGGCTTATGGTAAGGACAAAATTTTTCCACGAATACACATGCAACGGGTGCCTGAATTTCCATATTACTAAAGCTTTAGTAAACCTTAGTATATGTTCATGAACACTTTTGTACAAAATCGCAAAAGCCGAGTTACGATCAACCTTATGTTTCAAACATGCGTTTAGCTATAGAACGTGGATTGTTGTCATCTGTTCTTGTAGAGTCATTTGATTTTATTTGTTTCTGTAGTTATTTTAATACATGTTCAGATTTATTATTATTATAGATCTTCATAAGCTTCTTAGAACCTCATTTGTATTGAACTATAACATAAGACGAAATAACAAACACTGGTGATTATAAGGAAGAATTCGAACGACGTATAATCAATACTCCAACAAATTTCGCTGTAATAAACATTCATCCAGTTCATATAGGAATCCGTGAAAAAGATTTACAACAGTGGCTAACTACTATTCCTTTTTACATTTACACAGCTTTGGAAACAATCTTTCTTAAGATAACATCTGTTGCCAACTCATAACAAATATTTGATCAATTCACTTGATATTGTTTTACTTGAATCTCCCCATTGATGTTTTAGGACTGAAATTGATCAGTCTCTTATTGGCGTATGAGCATACTGTGCGTATGCCTCGATATTGCCTTAATTTACAAGCATTATAAACAAAGATGATTAGTGGCTAGCAGTGGAATCCAGGATGCACATTTCGTCCTGTTTGGGACTCGTCAGCTGGATGTACCTGCATCTCAGGACGAAACGCGCGTCCTGGATTCCACTGCTAGCCACTATCCATCTTTGTTTATAATGCTTGTAAATTAAGGCAATATCGAGGCATACGCACAGTATGCACATATGCCAATAAGAGACTGATCAATTTCAGTCCTAAAATATCAATGGGGAGATTCAAGTAAAACAATATCAAGTGAATTAAACTTCAACCCATTGCACAAGCAAGTGGCTATCAGGACTCAGTATCTAAGTGGATAACGCGATGGCGTTTGAAGCGAACGGTAGAGTTCGAGTCCCAGAGTGAACATCAACTCTGAGATGCAGGTACATCCAGCTGACGAGTCCCAAACAGGACGAAACGCACGTCCTGGATTCCACTGATAGCCACTATCCATCTTTGCTTATAAATATTAGATCAGTTAATTTTAATGCAATCTTCACTAGTTTCAAGAAAGAATGACACAATGAGGAAAATATATCGACTATGGTGATGAATGTGAGTGAATTTAATAGTATTTAAGTGTGCAAAAGATTGTAAGCGGAGTATATTAACTATTAAAATACATGATTTATCAGTTCAACAAATTAAGAAAACAGAAAAATGTATGTTATATTTGAAAGAAAAAAAAGACAGTCCGCCAAAATGAGCAGGTCAGCAATAAGGTCTTTGTGTTATCGATTATATAAAGAGAGAAAAAAATTTGTAGAAAACTGAAGTTAAATTCCTTAAAACAGTATGAGATTAAATACAAATTCCGTTAGTATGGTGACTTGTTACTGTCTATAAGAATTAATACAATCAGTCGTTCTACTATGTGTTGACAACTAGTATGAAACGATTTACATTTAAAAGAAACACGTTTGTTGTCATGAGTTTGTGAAAATATTTATATTTTATTAGAGCAAATAAAGATTATTAGATTAACTACATTTCTATTCTATTGATTCTTAAGTATTTTACAATTAATGCGTGTAGAACATCATTAAACACATTTTCAAATTGTAGTGAGTATGAGATAATGTTTAACTTCCAAATGACTGAAAATTTGATACACAGAATTATATAGAAATGATTTCACAAGGTCAAAGTATATATGTAAAGTTTATTATCGGTAATTACTGGCATTTAGTTTGTGTATCTGTTTTATAACCTTAGTCACCAGCTTTCATTTAATGAATACCCTATGGTTATATCTGCTACTTTAAATTTATTGTAATTTGAGCACGAGTCGTAGATGCTATTTTTTGTATTCTAATTGATCAGTTTCAGCATAAATTATATATTCTCGTTTACTCAGCGTCGTGATTAACTATTCATATATTTACACATGTACATTTCTGATTTAGTTACGTGAACATAGTGGATTCCGCTCTCGTCATCTTTTCTTCTCTTATCAACCAGAGTTGCCTAAGCAAGTCGTTGGTCGACGAGCGAAATAGTTCTTCTGCTCCCAAAGACAGTTGACCACAAATGGAATTTATCCATTCGCATTCTCAAGTTTACATCGATTAACCTAGGGCACCAAAGCCATTAACCAGTTCTGAGACAACTCTCTCAGCATATCTAACTAGAGAGAAAGTAGAAAGACCAAGGACCCAACAGTATTTTACTGTAAAGACCTATCAATTTAAAATCTGTTTGAAGTTGATACAAGCAGACTTAATTAGATCACCAACAGATGGGTATTGTAACCCTCTGTATAATTTTGTTTTTTACTCATGCCCATGTATCTCTTGCAACTCCCGCCACTATTCGATGTATACAAGAGTTTTATTTTTATCTTTTATGAATGACTACAATCGGTTCAGGAAGCCAGTCACTAACTATTGCACTGTGATATATTGGTTAGTGTGAACTATCCCCCTAGAGCACAAACGATTATCATAACGAATGATTGAAGATGTCAAGTGACATGGATCAGGTTCAGTAGTAATGGTGCAAAAGTATACATTCTTTGCCTTATAAGTGAAAATTACTTTTACAAGACTGGTAGGAACCCGTGTTTGTACTAACCCTGGGTAGTGAGCAGTTAGACACAGTAGAGAAATTCATGTCAATCTAGGCCATTTTTGGCGCCTTTGTGATGTTACTCTGACTCTACAGCATTATTTGACGACGCTGGAACTGACTAAAACAGCGGAGATGGTAGGTGTATGACATGTCTTGGTATAGAAGAAAGCTGTACACGACTGGCTTCTGTTGAACCTACACTACTCTCTGGTTGAGGTTTCTGGAGATATTGCGACACAGTCGTTTACGATTTATGAGAAATTGCTTAGAATAGAAGCCACATGGTCTTTCTGTAAATTTTATCATATTCACTTTCTTTACTCTATCTCCTCACAATCTCATCTTTATTGTATGGCGCATATATATTTTGGTGCCTCTTTGTACCACTGATTATGTGTTTAAATAAATGATATGTGCAATTTTCTTAAACATCGGTGTTCTAAAATAATCCTGCACTCTTTGTTCCATGAACTCATCCTTTTCCATAGAATCATAGTGTCTGTCCTTAATGTTTCCTATCAACAGTAATACTGTTACTATGTTTGCTCATGTGACATTAATCTTAATAATTCCATCTTATTGATTTACTATGGTGTAGAAACTTAAACCGACGGGCATATGTGCTAGTTTTTACGATCCTAATGATTGGATGAATGACTAAAGGGAAGACGATGAGCTGATCCATTTACTTCGGAAGTCCGTAAAGTAATAAAAACCAAGTGGTACATTTTTCGTCAGTACGTTTAAACAGATATCAAGCACAGTTTTTACGGAGAAAGGTCCAAAAATATACCTATGTAACGTGAATCATATGAATTGTTTATACGTACATACGTACCTACGCTATTGTGAACGATTTTGAGCCATGTCACTGATTATGAAAATCACCCAAACCTTAATCAGGTAGTCTCAACTTACGTAAATGGCTCAGCACAACAGTTAGTGACATCATGTACAGATGCTACCTTTTCGTTCACCCTCCGCTATCAATCTTCGAACCTAGTCCTAAACCAACCATTATCGCGCATCGACGTAGGCAGGTGACGATACGTAATACATGTCCTAACCATCTCAGACGATAAATATTCACTATCACATCAATCGATTTGCCATTATTACACAGTACCCTGCGTCTAACTGGAGAATTACAAACTTGATAGCCGCAAAATACACGAGGAGTGGTTTGAATATACGTATGATCGAATAGTAGTAACCAACGAATATGCTGCTCCAAGGTCGAAAAATATAACCATTTTCTACTCTACAAGTTCCCACTTTGTTGTAGATTATTATAGATAGCCTTGAGATTGATAAGATGGCTAAACTTATGTTACTGCCAAGATAAATTTAACAAATAAATGATTATATTTGGATGGATGGAATCCAACAATATGAAATGAAATAACCACTATCGATGATCAAAGATGAAGATCATAATATATCATAAAGCGATAATGTACTAACCATGAGATATGAAAATTACGGGTTCGATACCAGTACGGTCAAAGAAGGGCAATTATAAGAAATTCTATAGTAAAATAAAACAGCAGTAGAATACTATGTACTTTTATATAATTACAAAGCAAATATCAATCTATTAAAAAGACAATTACCCTAATGACAATTTAATTTTTTCCGCTTTTGCTAGTTTTGTTTAAAACTATACAGCAAAATAACCTCAAACTAATTAAAACTTTTTAATTCATGTGATTTTCATAAACAATTTTTTCCGTCAATCAGTCATAAGTGTGGATACAGTCAGAAGTCCACTAACAATCATACAATTAAGAAGTAAACAAAATTATCCGCTATGACAAAGTCAATAAAAACCTGTCAAAATAATCACGTAGAAAATAGACATAGACATTTAAAAATCATTTCTTAACACTTAAAGCACTGTGTAATTTCGCAAAATACATGAATTTGGCCCAGACGAGGAATTAACTTCATTTCAATTAATTCCCTATTGAAAAACAATAGAGATCGATAAGGGCAATAAATTTAGCCTTCATCCCAAACAAGTGAACGTAAATTTCAAGTTCACTGTCCCAATAGAAGGCAAATACATTATAAGCTATTAAAGGTTTAACAAAACATTTTGAAATTGTATCGTATAATAAAGTAATAGTATGGTAAGATTATGATATAAAGAAATGAAGTAATTCATACTTGAATATAATCAAAATATACTGACCTTTGAATCGGTAAAGTCAATATTACATTTTCTGAAAATAGATTTTATCACATGGCTTACGGGTACCGCGTTGTAGTGTCGGTTATTATGTTAAGTTCACATAACTTATTCTAGCTTCTTGACAGGCCGATTTATCCATTCAACTTGAGTCACGTTTTAACCTTGTTAATTATTCACTTATCAACCCTGATTGTTTTTATATAGGCGTATGTGTGTTTATATCATATCTTACTCATCAAATGTCTGTAACTTATTTTTGTCCGGCTATAAATATCCATTATTGATTGATTAAATCGAGTTGGCTCACACGCCTTCTCCATCACGCACTTCGCTTCTCTCTTTTTTCCTCGCTTCGATTTTTCGCTCGCTTGTCTGCATCAACGATTGTATGAAATATACGTATTCGAAATTCACTTTCGTATTTGACTTATTTAATTCTGTTATTCACTGACGTGATTTAAGTCGAAAATTATATACGAGGATATCCAATACGTTTATTTCAATTACACTTATACGATCCAATTGGAGTAAGACACCAGGCCACTAAGGTGGCGAGTCCGTCGATAACATCATCCGATCTAAATGACGTCAAAAAGAAGAGCCCCACTAAGGCATGATTTGTAACACTGTGGTGTGTGCTACTTGTGTCGACAGATATAAGTAGTATGTGTCATCAAACGAAAGTGAAATGCCTGCCGGCAGAAGGTTAAGAAGATCGAAGAAAAGAGAACGAGAACAGAGGATGATTGAGAACGAAGGAAGAATCAAGCTTGAGACGTCTGACTGACATTATGCAAATGAAGTATTTAACATACCATTCTGTAATACTGTATTCACATACATTCGGTTGTCCCCAACTGTGTTATCATTCACTACAACATTTGGAAGTAAGATAGTTCATGACCAATAATATGCTTTAAAACACAGTCGATAATGAATCTGATGATATGAATCAAAATTATGAGAATCCTACACTTAGTTAAGTGAAATAGGTTTACTTATAGTTGCTAAGAATTACTTAATACTGATAATACATAGTAATACGTAAATTCACAAAAAAAAGACGAAAAAATCAATTCATTTATCAAGTATAGATTCATGTACTCCAATTCGAACCCGTTTCAGTGCTACTACCCGTTTGTTTAAGCAGCTATATATATATATATATATATATATATATATATATATATATATATATATATATATGTTTTATTGTTTTGCTACGGTTTGTCTTCCTAAAAAATGAAATAATTGTACAAAGTTCATTGAAAATAATATAATTAAACAAACTATACATTATAAGCAAAGATAGATGGTGGCTAGCAATGGAACACAGAAAGCGCGTTTCGTTCTATTTTGGACTCATCAGCTGGATATAATCTGTATTCCAGAGTTAGTGTTCACTCCGGGACTATAATCGAGTACTGTTCGCTTCAAACGCCATCGCGTTATCCACTTAGCTACTAAGTCCAGAAGATTCAAACAAACAATATAAAAATGAATTAAAATCTGTATATTAGTTTAGTAAAACCTATATTTTTAAAATGTAGTTCTAAATCCAACTCTAGAACCTCAAAATAAAATCTATCTTGGAGTCAACACTAAAAACATTTAATATTTAACAAATCAGTACGGTGAACTATTTAGCCGAAATAAAAAGTGAGTTTTCACAAATTCCAACGACAATTAAATATATTTCCAGGAAGGGATAAAGTTTACTATGCAAAAAAAGATTTGTTCAGTATTACAAGATCAGCGATAACTTTTCATTACTGAAGAATTATACTGAAAATCCCCTTTAAATGACTACACATAACCAAATGGACAATGTACAAAACATAACCTTTAGCAAAATATAATAGCTTACCAAAATGGTTTGTGTCTGAAAAGAAGAGACCAGTTTAAATGTCGTAAAGGTACACTAGATACAGAATCATTATCGATACTTTTTGAGTCTACATAGACAAATGTTGATTCTGACGGCTAGAAAAGAAACAAAGTAGACAATAACACAAGACCGACATGAATATAACTTAAAAAGATGAATATATTTACAGTGTCGATAATAGAACGTATAAATGCACTTCGTAAGTGATTTTTTTAAATACATGGTAAATGGATTTTCAGAAAGTAATGAAGTGATTGATTAATTAAAATGATTATATATAACATCTCCAAACACTAATTTTCCCGATTACTGCTTGTACTCTTATTACCTCTACCACTACGGGATTTGAATCGGCCACTACATCTCTGTGCTAATGTGGTGTGGCAACTCGAACTGATGTACGTACGTACGAAGTTCTACGTTGTTACTGACTGATATATATATATATATATATATTGGAACAAAGAAGCAGCAAATATATATATGCTACACTTAGTCATTCGATTTGTATGAGGGCTGGAATACTGCCCGAGCACCCAAACTAAAGCAGGAGTTTCCTTAGAGGGCCAGTCCTCGAGCCATTAACTTAGAGGTCCAATCCACAAGGCAGTGAAGAAGCGTTAGTAGATGCAGTCCCATGGTAGCCGGTGACCAACAATAGGTTTATACGCCATTTGTTTCTTCAGGATCCTGGAGCCCATGTGCACCACTGAACTGTAATAAAAGTTTTTCAACTCCCCTAGGTGGACCCTACGTGTCCTCCAACCTAGTTAAAGTGATGGAAATTAGCTTTTCGTCCTCTCAATTTGGTAAACAACACCCACGCCGCGAGGAGGCATATTCAATGCTTGGTCTTCGGGATTATTTCTCCACAATACCTTTTTGTAACTGGATACAATAATTTCCATTGTAAAACCACCTTTAGAAAAGGCAGGATAGATTATTACTACACAGTTTTGAGCTGAAATAAACTTAATAAACAACACAAAACAAATTCCAAAAACAAAATATGCTGTTCACTACATTCTTTATCACAACATCACTGGTAATAAGTATTGATACTGACTTGTAATACATAAATAAAATCAAAAAGGTACAAAGGATGGTGACAAAAGGGGTGAGTAGTTAACAATACTTATAAACCCATCCACGCAAAATTGGCTTAATAAAAGAAGACTTAAGTTATATACGACTTTAGTAGGGTGCCTTAAATACTCAGACGACTATCTGTGTGCAGTAAAATCTCATTAGAGCTATTGCTAAATAAAATATGATTATTCTTAGATAAACCAATTCTGTAAATCCTCAAATAAACTGAGCCCGAGTAAACTGTTTTTACCATGAAACGTAATTAGCCTGATCGTTGATAAACATTGGGTGGCATTGGTTTACGTTGTTTACAACCACTATTTCTCTTTATTTATCATTTCCATCAGTATGATCCGTCCTTAAGGATGTACATAACAGCAAGTATGCACCTTCCTAGGATATGTGTACTGTCGTTCACATATTCCTTTCATAATTTTATCATCGCATTATATGAGAAAAATGAATTTGTAAAAAGTAACATAAAATAACACTGAGTAAATTCATAATAAATTATTTTATCAAACTAACCGTCATTTTTTCTTCCACATCTAATATTTTAACAAAATTTTCTGACTTCAATTCCCGACTTATTGTTACATTCTTGTTAATAAAATATGAATTTGTTAGTATTCTAGGTAAAATTAAATGCAATTTATGTGGTCTCTTAGTTTCACGGGTAACAATTAAATAGACAATGTAAGACCATGCAAAAAATGATATTCCAATCCAGAAAAACGGTGTACGCCAGCCATCATTTTCAGCTAAGTAAGAACCCAGTGAACCACATAAGATTGTTCTGATATGATAATGAAAGACAAGAAAGTAATATTAAAATATTTTCGAAAAAAAGTGTCAGACGATAAACCGATAACAAAATAAAACAGCATTGATTAACACCATGAGAAATAGAATAAAAAATTGACCAGTCTAATGCTATGTAACCTATAATTCTGCAGATTTAATTATATCAGTTAGTCAGACGTAATTAACGTAGAATCTGACACAAATGTGTTGACTCAAGTTCCTAGGTCTACACGGCGGCCCGCTTGAATATCTGGGCTACCTGTTTCTACCATCTAATTATTTTAACAAGTTATCTGTCATTTTGTTTTAGGGTCTCATTATGTCTATTAATCGCATAACCAATATAGGCACGTTTATGAAAAGCCTAACCTCTTTTATAAAAAAACATGCTGACGCTCTATGTTATCCATTCACGAGTATCTTTAACAGATCCTTCTCAAGTAATCTCATACCGAAAATGTGGAGACAGATAAAGATAATCCCTACACCTAAGAAAGTATCTGGTGATAAAAATGTGAAATTTAGACCCATAGCAGTAACTTCACCTTTCCTTAAAACAATGGAAAAATTATTGATACTTCCACTTCAACCTGCAATATAAGAGCACATTGATCCGTATCAGTTTGCTTACACATGCAAAAGAAGCACCTTAGTTGACATTGCTGTTCTGCATCACAATATAGTGTTTGGCTTCTGTCTTTGATTTTATCTCAAGACAAATTTTACCCAACAAGGTAATCAGCGTCAACACTGACAGCTAGATAACCAATTGACTATGTTCCTACCTTTCTGGAAGGGAACAGTACTCTGCGTTTGGAGGAAAGTGTTCAACGCCCCTACTGTCTCATGAAGGTATGCCATGAGGAGCTTTTCTTTCATCTCTTCTCTTTTTTTCTGTATGATCTTCCATCCTCCACAGAAAATACTTTTGTGAAATATGCGGATGATCTCACTGTATATATGCATATTACCTATTACTTTTTACTGTATTGACGAGAGTGTTGAAGGCAGTTGGCAAGGTGTGTGGTGAATCGTTTGAGGTCATTAATAAAATGGTTGTCGGTAAACATCCAAAGTCCTGCAAACTTCTGATAAGTGTTATCTTCTCAGATCCTAATTATTCCCTTCATTCATATCTTTTTGTGTATCTTTTGGTAGAACGAGACGTCAATACATTAAAATCCATGCGCTCAAGCAACGGTATAAAAGTTCCGTAATATCTTACCTAGCAAATATACTTTGTGACGAATGGAGTGTTAAAGTTTATCTAGTCAATAACCTTGACTCCACTCTCTGTGTTCTCCCAAATTCTAATCTTCTGAATCCTTCATGTCCCTTTTTTCCTCTTTCCAAATTTATTTCGCCGGATTATACTCTTTAAATAACATCTCCGAACCCTAATCTTCCCGATTACTGCTTATACTCTTATTACCTCTACCACTACGGGATTTGAATCGACAATTGCATCTCTGTGCTAATGTGGTGTGGCAACTCGAACTGATGTACGTACGTACGAAGTTCTACGTTGTTACTGACTGACTGACTGACTGAGTCAATAACCTGAATTCTTAAACATGTCTCTAGTTTGAAAAGTTGTACAGATTCTGATATTTTTCCGTCTTTTCGTTTTTTGTTGTTTTTTCTTTTTGTAAAAGAAACTTGTGGAAATACCTCGTGCTGAGAATTCTATATTGTACCAAAATATAATATTGAATAAAGCCATTAACAGTAATAATAATAATAATAATAATAATAATAATAATAATAATAAAGACGGGATGAGAATAACAAGATAAATCACAAAAACAATAGGAAATGTAGTAGCAATGATACACAAGACATTCAAACCTTGGGAATATGGTTTGAAAAGACGGGGTGGGAAGATATACATGATTAAGAGGAAGATAAAGAGTGAATTCATTTGTGTTATTGTGATCGCTTCTGAGCCATGTAATCTAAAGTCTCTAACAAATGTTTATGGTTATTTTACGAACCTCAAACAGATAGTCTATATCTACAACTATAGCTCAAACCAACAGTCAATGTGTTTGGTGAATAATGGAATGTCTTAGGTTGATTTCCTGTAGCTTTCTTCCAACCTACTACTACATATTCTTTATTATTCCTTCATTATAACCCTTAAAAAGTGAACATTGCGTATAAATAATTGTGAGTTTGAAAAATTTACAGAAATATATCCAATAACCAAATTTGTCCTAACATCTACAGACTGCTTATTATTTGTACTAAGAAAATAGACGAGAATCACATTAATAGCAAGTTCATCGCAAACGAGATATATTTTCGAGAAAATTATCATGAATTAATATTAATTACAGAAAGATTAACGTAACCAGAATGCATTGGATGACCAGCGCCTTCTAAATTAAGCAATTTAGGCAATGACCTTTCACTATCTAAATTATTTGGGTAGATAAGCTTAACTGTAAGTATCTGAGGATCAGAAACATATATATCTTGGACAGCACATAGAAATAATCACTTCATTATATTCTAAAAGATTTCTTACAAGTTTACATTTATCATCAACAATAAATGATTATTAACAGCTAGTTCTCAACGAAACAGTCTGGCAAAATTACCTGCATGTTATGTAAATAAGCATCTTATGAACAATTTTGTATTATAATTACGATCAACATAACTATTACGAATGGCCTTATTCAATCTAATATGTATAGTACAACATAGAATTCTCAGAATAGACTATTTTAATAAGTTTCTTTTACCAAAAGAAATCGATAACTGGATACATTTATTTATGAAATAAGTAAATAAATTATCTGGAATTTAATCAGATGCTTTTTAATAAGATTAGAATCTGTACAACGTTTAATTAGCAGCACATTTAAGAACACAAGTTATTGACTAGGCCAGCTCTAACAATTTATTCGTCACATAGTATGTTTAATAGATTAGGTATTGTAGAACTTTTATACCTTTGCTTGCGTGCATGGATTCTAATTTATTGATGTCTCGTTCTACCATGAGACATGCAAGGAGAAATATGTGGGTGAAAGAAATGTGGAGAAAGATTAAAATAATTCTGATAACTAAGAAAGTATTTAGGAATAAAAATGGAAAATCTAAACCCACAGGCGTAACTTCACTACTCGAAATAGAGGAAAAACTATTGCTACTTCCATCTCAACCCGCATTACAAGGGCATATTGATCCACACCAATTTGCTTGCTTATTTCACGCATAAATGTATCCAGTTATCGATTTATTTTGGTGAAAGAAAGTCATTAAAAGTATATTCTGAGAATTTTATGTAGTACTATCCATCTTAGATTGAATAAATTATTGATAACAGTAATAATAACCATTCCTGCTTTACCTCAATACACAGATTTTGTTAAAAAGATTGATAGGTTACACAACGATTCATCATTTTATTGAATTAAACTCTACTTCAGTTGAGTGGACTACTGTCAGTACCAGAAAGAGATTTCAACAGTGTTGCTGAACAGAATGAAAGATTCAGTAGACGCCTAACTTCGAGAACAACAGACCGGATTCCGCAAGGATTGGTCGTACATAGACCAAATATTGACGCTACGGATAATTGTTGAACAATCAGTTTAGTAGAACTCGTCACTACACGTCAACGACATTGACTATGAGAAGGCGTTTGTCAGTGTGGATAGGACACTATAGAAACTTCGACACTATGGTGTACCTGAGATGGTTGTCAACAACCGGAATTCATATGATGGACTACAGTGCAAAGTGCTGCATAGATGACAGCTGACAGACACATCCCAAGTAAGGACCGGAGGTAAACAAAGCTGTTTACTCTCTCCCTTTCTATTTGTTCTGGTGGTTGACTGGATTATGAAGACCTCGATATCTGACAGGAAGCACGGAATAAAATGGATAGGTTAGATACAACTAGACAGTTTGGACTTCTCAGATGACCTAGATCTATCTCATACATACCAACAAACGCAGGTCAAGACAAACAGTTTAGCGGAAGCCCCTATTCTATAGCAGTAGGCCTCAACGTACATAAAGGCGGCCTATGCTCCTTCGTGGGAGTTGGGAAGACAGGCGTAAGTAAGTAAACACAGTCGAGTGAATTTATGTTAATCCGTTTTCTAAGTCTATAGTTAATAGTGATTTGAAATAAAACACGTTTTTAAAGGATTTAAAAGGCTATTACACTACAAATTGCGAAACTGAGATTCATAAAAATGTTAATAAATACATACCCCAAATGTGTACCAGCAGTTATCACAGCAAAAGTGATATTTCGATTGGATACTTGAACACGATTGGCCATTAGACTTGCTAAACTCGGATAGTAAAATCCTGAAAGTTTGGTAAACAGATAAATATTAGGAGAGTTTGTTAATTTTGTAGAATTGTTATCAAATGGTGTGTTAGAGTAAGAAAAAAGCAACTTAAATGATGCCAAACAACTGTTTCGACTTAAAAGATATAATTTAGTATCTTAACTGTAAATATCATGCTGTTTAACTTTCATAATTGTCATCATTTTATCACATTTACATTAAAGCATGCCTTATTTTTACAAGGTCCACTTCAAATTTATGAGTGCCTACATTCCGTGATATCACTATTTAAGGTGATAACTGTTTTTAGTAGGTTTGAAAACCAAAGTAGACACAGTACCTTCACTGGTTAAACTGTCTTAAATTACATTTTACTTGATAGCAGTTGTATAAAGAAATAAATCGGAGATCGTTTTTACTTATTACTAACAATATATACTTTGACTAATTAAATTTATTTTGATGGATATCTCTAACCGATAATATTGTCCTTCATCAACTTTATTAAGGCCCAAGTGATTAATCAAAAATATATATGAAAGCTGAAACGTAATTAGTCAAACATTCTCCAATTCTGCCCATCGTAACATCAAAACGAAAAGTTATGTAAAAAGAGAAGCACGTATAAAAGTTGCAAAGTTAAAACGTTCAAATTTCTTTCCATTGATTAAAGAAAAGTAAATAAATGACATAACAGTCAACATAACGAAACAGTACAATTTACACTCCGTTATGTCCTTGATCCGTCTACCCACTACTATGCAGAGGATAACTTGTCTCAGTCTAGATTAAGACCTTGAAGCGATAGGGTGACTGATTTAACCTTGAAGCTAGAGTTCGAAGTGAGACTAACTGCTTAGGGTAGAGACTAAAATTATCCTGTCACCTGATTGACTGACAAGCACGAGAGAGAGAGAGAGAGAGAGAGAAGACAAGTCAATTGGAACACTACTCGATTTATTCCCAATTCCGACCTGGTTCCCGATTCAGATTAGTGTAAAAAAGATAAATGAATAAACAGATGACTAACCAGACCACAATGCACAAAAAATTAGGAAAAATAAAATCGCATCCCAAAAATGGGTATCACGGTAGAAAATACTACAAAATATTATGTTTAAATTACAATAGCTTTGGAACAAAAAAGGTTATGGCAGTGAATGATACATCAAAAGAAAGCCTTTGGTCTGTAGAATAAACTAAAAACAAAAATAAGTTTTAGTGCCTTACAAGCCTTGAATTAAATGAAATAACATTCCCAAAATCAGCTTCCATAGTTTGTCAAGGCTTCTTGTTTCTTTGTTCACATCACAACCGAATTATATAATACATACATAATAATAAGAAAATCAGACTATACATAGTTGGTCACACGAAAAAAATAATTGTCCCACTAAAGAAGGCACAGGAAGTTAGCAATTACCATAGCAACATGGGTGGAGTACAATTATTCAAATATAACCATAGTAGCATGTCATAAATGAACGACTATAACATAACATAAAATTTGAATAATGTCACCAAGGGAAAAGTAACCATGGCCCTAGAACTGGGACAATTCCTCCTTTGAAACAGTCAGCCCTTTGAAATAAAAGCAGAGTTGCCGTGGTAAAACTTGACTGAGAAAGTATAACTGTTAAGCGATTTTTTTTACCTATAGACTAAATTCGATCCAAATCACAAAATATTACAATAATGTATAGGTATGTCTAGTACAGTATATTTTATTCGATATTACCACATGAAATCTTTATTTTACCATGTATCAAGATAAAGCTTGGTAGACAAAAATTACATGACTTTAATTATCACGCACTTTAGAAATGCAGGGTAAACAAGTTATGAAAAAAAAACAGTCAGTAATATTTAAGATTTATACGTTGGTGCCCTAAGCTACACTATTCCAACTCCAACTTCAATACGGTGGTCATTGGTGAAAGAGACTACTTTGATTCTCGATTAACTACAGTAAGAACTCCAGTTGACTTATGCAAGTTTATTGATCAAGACCCATTAGAATTCAAAAAACATTTACGATAATCTCTTATATACCAATTACAATGATTTACAACAATGAAATAACACCCATCCAGCAGTTGTGTTACGCAATACTTATATAATATCACCTTAATTATGAAGTAATATTAAGTAGTTGGAAGAAAGAGGATTGTAACAATCAAGGTAATTATTCGGATAATCAAATAGTTATCACATTGCATAGTATATAAAAAGAACTAACAAAATATTTCGATAAAAGTTTGGTAATATAATAGTTATGTAAGAATCAAGAGATTAATGTTGGTACTATGTAAAAAATACAAAAGTATAAGAAATTGGAACATTGTTTAAATATTTTTGAAGAAAACGTTTTAATTAGACTTCAGCTAAACACTAAACCGATGGCCAAGGTAGCGTGAGTGGATGTAAACACTTCCATCGGATCCAAGTCAAGTTTGTGAACACGGATTCCAACAGCTTCAGCAATACGCAACAGACGAACTCGTAAACCATGTGTTAAATTTCATGTAATATGGTAGATAACCTTAAAAGCATTATTCAATCCAACTTGGTGACCTGTGTCCACCAAGTAAACGAGAAAAGAACACTTAAGCACTTTTATCTGTCCTTTGCTCAATCAAGACGGATGGTGTTCTATTATACGATGACGGACTTGGCGAACTGTAAGCTCTATATAACTGACTCCAAAGGAGCGGTTGAACTGCTGAACACACATGGATGTAGAGAATTCAGGAAATCTAACTAGAGTAAATGTTTTTCGGACCACCTTTCTTAGTTCTTGAGTTACAATTTCTTCGGTAGCATCATTTAAAAATTGTAAACTTAAGAACAGTACTTTCTTCAGAATGGTAGATACATTTGGTCTTTTTTCCATATCATTCATGTTTGTTGATGAATTTCATTGGATATCCATCCTTACTAAGCAGCTTACGAATATTATTCAGCTCATCAGAGAGAAGCCTTCTAGCACGATGTGTTACGATCTTTACCAAGATCCTCTTATATCTGATTGGTATAGTACTATAGAGATGAGTGTATTGTCCGAATTCAAACTTTCTATGTAACCTATTCTAAGTGTTCCATCCACTCTTCTTGTAAGTTAGACATCTACAAACGAACAAGAGAAGATAGAATACTAAAGAGGGACACATAAAAAGTCTGCAGTTGGACAATATACTCGAAGACTTCATGCACTGTTAAGATATTTTAATCTGACCATCCAAGCTTTTTCCCAACCTAATTCTACACGAGCTAATATGGGTTGATTAGACATACGTGACATCCGAAAAAGATATAAAAATAATAATAACTAGTGATAGAAATAGGATAGCAGTATATGGAGCATTCAGACAAAACGTAGTGAATTGTACCGGGTGGAAAGATTTTTAGGCCGTATTACTCAAAATTTTCAAACTATTATTTACTCATATCAATCGCATTTCTATGAACTAAACCAGTTATGCATAACACTATTTTGTTTAACAGATACTGAAGCGATAAACTGACTTTTGAAATACTTCTGTTCAAACTGTAAGAGGTTCATCCAAATCAGACACTAATTTGACTAAAAACAAGTCGACAGGGATAGAAAAACGACAGCATAGCTGCATGGTGACGCAAGCTATTACACAATACATCATTATAAGGTGGGAAAATCAAGAAGAGAAGAACCAATATGAACATTCCCCAAAGCAAATGGACATTGTGAATAAAAACCCATTAATGTGGAATCGGATACAAAAAATATCCACAGACCACACCCAACAGGTGACAATAATGTAAGTGATCTGTTCTGCTTGGTAAATAGGAAAATATCAATATTATATTAGTACATAATTTATGGAATATCTGCACAACGGTATGACAAATTTATTGGAAATTCATCATTTAAATATGAATCTTTATATACAACAGGTAATGTATTTTGAAAGTAAGCAAATAAACGTCTAACATTAAAAAGGTATAAGCACTAAACAGAACAATCGGATAGAAAGCTATGTAAGATGAGCTAACTTAAACATTTGCGTTCTAAAACTTCTTCTACTCGAAAAAAAACAATATCAGGAACGCAATGATACATAAAACTTACCTTGAAATATCCCTAGTAAAAAGCGAGTAATTATGAAAAGCCCATATATATCATTTGAGCCCAGGTTGATACTTGGGAGCCATATAAAGCAAACGGTTAGTATAGACCAACCTAGAGAACTGATTGCAATTACAATTTCTCCACCAAACACATCACTTAGATAACCACCCAGGTACTGTGTAACAGCGTAGCCCCAAAAGAAGATGCCCATCATGAAACCCTGTAGAAAAAGTGGTATCACATAAAAGAAGTTGCTTTAGATCATTATCTGGCAACCCTCTTGTAAGACACTAAGGCATTAAATCCATAGTAGTAAGAATACTTTAATAGACACAGTGATGTGTTTGCCTCAATTATGAATTACATTCTCTTTATTTATTAACCATTTTTAGTAAAATATCTGAAACATATCAAATACAATAAAATGAAAACTACTCAAGTAAGACAGGAATTTTTACATATGTGAGTAGCTGATTGAGATCAGAACTAATGAGCATTTCTTCCCCTTAGATTATTGAAGTTTGCATACACAACTAATCTAGAATCAGGGTTGTCCGACTCCGATGGATGCAACTTACACATTCACAGACCTATGTTAAATGTCAGAGAGCCGTCTTTGTTGATTTTTATGACAACCCTGCCGCATGAATGAAGAGAAGCAATTTTCTTACGAAGTTCGCAAGCGCTTTATCATTAAAGAGTATCTCGAAAGACAGACCAGACCCCTATTATATTATGCCGCATTTCCGCTTTAAGAGGTTTAGCACAACCTACCAATCAAGCAAAGAAGTGTGTTCCCCGTTTTTAGCCATACCCACCTTGTGAAGGCGAGTGTAGCTAATCAGCTGGCCAAGCCCTGACAGATGAACTACAACCGAAAATTAAAAACGAATGATTCACATTCAAGTACTTTAACCAATAAAGCGACGGTACAGTAAAGAGAATAGGTTTGCCGGTTTTCAGCACTAAAGTGGAGAAGCTTGACAGCTGAAAGCAATACCCCATACGGTACATTTGGCAGAAGTAAGGAATTCACTATTCGGTTGAACCATCATATTTGAAGATCAATTTTTCTACTCTTTAGATGATAAAACTACAAGTAATACAAATGTTTAAAACTAACTTTCTCACCAAGTTTTTTGGGTTATCCAAATTAATTAAAACCACTCCATAACAACCGAAACGTCTTATTTTTTATTTGTAAAAAGAATAAACGGTCGAACATATCAGCAATTCATCAATTTGATTGCGAAGATAATTGCAACCTTGCAAACATTTATTAAGAATTGCTAGTTTTATTGAAACTTCCTTCAGACTTACCATTTCCTTACGATTCCAATTCAATTCTGAGGCAATAGCAACGGAAGCAATCGGCATTACTGCCCTAGAAGCATAGAGGCCAACTGCACCAATAAACAGAAAGCACATCCATTTATGTCTTTCGGTTCTGGTAAGAGAAAGAAAGTAGGATAGTTAATAGTAAAAATTTTGGAGTTTTTCTAAATATCAAATATCCAGGTTCCCACAAACTAAGAACTATATTTAGCAATGATCAAACAGTAAAAATAATTAAACCTTTGGGTTGACTTTATAGTGACTTAAATAAAATAATAATAATGACTACTACCATACCTAATGAAGGGTAAACTTTAAAAGCAGATCCAAAAATTATCAATATGTTGAGAACTAATTTAAGGTGATAAAGACCATTATTTCTCCAAAGGAAAAAAATATGACAAAAATGTTCAGAAACAGCCAAGTGATAGTCAGTTGTAATTAACATAGGGCACGACAAAAATGTGCAATGGGCCAAACTGTCTATACAATAAAAGGCAAACGTGAAATTTTTTAATAACATGAACGGAGAATAGAAAGCATTCTTCTTCCAACTGTGTTGTTTAATTTTCTATAGGATTTTATATTATTAGCCAAATACATAAAACCGACTAAAAACAGATCAGTGAAAAGTTTGTGTCGACGTAACGTAACTTACACTTCTTGAAGATATTTAAAATTAGTCCCGATGCATTGATTTCATGACAAAAGTATGACTACTGGGGGATACATTCGAAGTACAAGTATTATCTTTGTAGTGACTAATTTAAGAAAAAATTTATTTAATTACGCTACCATTAATAGAATATGGGTGCAAGAAATTTAGCACACCACAAGTATGGGTGGTTGGGCCAATATATATATATATATATATATATATAATATCCTTCACAATATTGCTGTTACAAAACCTTTCAATGACTTGTTTGAAATGTTTGTAAAATAAAAACTTTTAGAAAAAAGTGACTGCTTCATGTAACAATGTAAATTTGGTTAACATATGCTGTCAGGTTAAAATTCAAACTTAGTTTGATTTATGTCGTGACATTTAAATTACCAATTTTTTTAGATAAAATAAACATATACCCTGTAAATCTTAATATAAACAAGTGTCGTAGTAGATAAGTGACTGTGGTGTTCCAAAACATCTATGTGATTCACCAACCTTAAGTATTCAGCTCTTAATCCAATGACTCGATAAGAGACAACTATATGACACAGAAAATTAATCGAGGTACTTTTGGTGTCGAAAGTCAACTGAGCTTCCTTACATTTTTATGAGGTTAATGTGTATACTGATGCAGATGGTGGCACTGAATTGGATCTTAGTATTCGATTGGATAAGACTAATTTGCTCTTAGTGCAAAAGTTTACATTGGGGATTGACCTTCATTAGATAACCACTGAAGACCAGAAAGCAATGAACAGTTGTTTTGACCTAGTATAGAATCTTCAGCGGTGTCTGTTCACCACTTTACCAAGTAAAAAACCCAGGACGCACGCGTTTTGTAGTGAGCTCTTAACATTTAAACAACTGAGCTGGAATGGAATTGTTTGCAACTTTAGAGCCAACTAATTTGTGATATTGAGCAACCAACTTTTAATGACATTGACGGCCCCCAAATGTAGTGGCACGGCCGAGGGCGAGGAGGGTTAGCTCTCCATCGCGAATGGTCTCACATGGCCGCACGTAAACAGCCACTACCAGGGAATTCCTAGTCACTGACTTCTTGCGACGAAGGTGTTGCTTACGAAATTGAGATGGCGAAAAGCGAATGTTCGGCGGATTAACGGGTTGGTAGACACTCCGTGTCCACCTAGGGGAGTTGGGAAACCGTAATTCCAAACCAATGGTACACATGGGTTCCAGAACCCTGAAGGAACAAATGGCATGTGAACCCTATTGTTGGTCACCGACTACCATGGGACTGCTTCTCCTGACGTTGCTCCACTGCCCTGTGGATCAGACTTGTAAGTCGAAGGCTCTGGGTGTACCACCCTAAGAAAACCACCTGCTTCGGTCTGGGCATCCGGACAGTATCACAGCCCACACACAAATCAGGTGACATGTGTGGCGCATATATATTCGATACCCCTTTGTACCAATATTTATATGTTCAAATAATAAATAAAAAATAAATAAAGAACCCCACATGGGCAGGCGAACTGATGGATGATATCAATCACACAGAGCAGACTTTAGCAGGGAGCATTTCTGACTATTACCCTGCCTGGATACAGTCAGTAAAAGCTCAACTATTTTATTCTGGCCAACTAGCTGTACCAGAGACCTTCAAAATCATTCATTCAGGAAGAACCAGATTAAAAAGAAAATAGTATAAAAAATCACTTTCAAGTACACGATAGTCTATGCCATTGTCTATACGAAAATAACAAGAAATCAAGAGTAAATTTTAAGGCCAGAAATAAAAAACCCGCACTACAAACTTACCGGCTCCACATGGTGGCCATCTGATTCTGAAGAATATACTACAAATGTCGACAAATATTTACGAGCAGATTGTAGAACGAATTTAGTCAATTCAGTCTTCAATAACCAAGATAGTAGGTTGACAGACCTGTGTTAACCTTTGCAGCTTGAATTTTAGTGAAGGTTCAGCTTCTCTTTGAAAACTTTCGCTGATGGTGCTGATACCACTTGTTCAAGTAAGGCGTCCCAGTCATTGACTACTCGACGACAAAAACGGAACCCTACTCTAAGTTTCTGAAATCGCGGTTTTTGAATCTTCTTGCTATGGCCTTGGAGATGATTAGTTCTGGAAGGAGCAAAAGTATAAGACATACAAACATCCAAGACATTATAAAAGTTATGGCATACCAATAACATGTCACCTCGCGTCTGAAGATACGATAAGGTGACAAAGTTCAGGCGTTTTAAGTGCTCATCGTAAAAGAAATTTGGAAAGACCCTTCACTGACTTTTTTCCCACAAGCCCAGCACTCTCGATCGTGTCAGTATCCTTAATAAGAAATGGATGACTGCTTAGACACAGTACTCAAGATGTGGTCTTACATGGGACAAAACTCGTCAAAGCATTCGAATGCTCGGTCAGGTGACCATAACTCTCGAAAGAAATACATCTCATCAAGATACCAAAGAAAGGCAATCTCAGCAAGTTTGAGGACTACAGAGGCATCACTCTTCTCTCAATACCAGGAAAAGTCCTCAACAGCGTATTGTTATTCAGAATGACGGAATCTGTAGACGCTCAACTTCGAGATCAACAGGCTGTATTCCATAGGAATCAATCGTGTATCGACAAAATCGCAACACTCTATCATTACGGAACAATCAATAGAATAGAATTCACCACTTTGTATCAACTTCGTTGAATTCGAGAAGGGATTTGATAGCGTGAACAGAACAGCACTATGGAGGCTTTTTCGACACTATGGCATGCCTCAGAAAATAGTCAATATCATACGGAATTATTATGATGGATTAAACTGCAGGATCGTGCATGGAGGACAGTTGACAAAGTCGTTCGAAGTGAAGACCGGTGTTAGGCAAGGTTGCTTACTCTCAACCTTTCTCTTTCTCCTGGTGATCGGCTGGATCATGAAGACGTCAACATCTGGGGGAGGAAGCATGAGATACAGTGGACAGCTAGGAAGCAGCTGGACGATCTAGGCATCCCAAATGATCTGGCTCTTCTATCACACACGCAACGACAAACACAGAAGACGACCAGTGTAGCAGCAGCCTCAGCAGCAGTAGGTCTCAACATACACAAAGGGAAAGTAAGATTCTCCGATACAACACAGCATGCACCAATCCAATCACAATTGACGGAAAAGATTTGGAAGATGTAAAAACCTTTACATATCAGGGCAGAATCATTGATGAACACGGTGCATCTGATGCAGATGTGAATGCGCGGATCGGCAAAGCAAGAGCAGCATATCTACAAATGAAGAACATCTGGAACTCAAAACAACTGTCAACCAACACCGAAGGCAGAATTTTCAATACAAATGTCAAAACAGTTCTACTGTAAGGAGCGGAAACCTGGAGAACTACGAAAGCCATTATCCAGAACATACAAGTGTTTAATAACAACTGTCTACGCAACATACTTCGGATTCGTTGGCCAGACACTATCAGCAACAACTTACTGTGGGGGAGAACAAACCAGATCCCAGCGGAGGAAGAAATTAAGAAGAAGCGCTGGAAGTGGATAGGACACACATTGAGGAAAGCACTCAACTGTACCACAAGGCAAGCCCTCACATGGAATTCTCAAGACCAAAGAACACATTACGTCGGGAAATCGAGACAGACATGAGAAGAATGAACAACAATTCGATAGAAGCAAAACGAATGGCCCAGGACAGAGTGGGTTGGAGAATGCTGGTCGGCGGCCTATGCTCCGTTGGGAGTAACATGTGTAAGTAAGTAGTGTACGAAAACAATCGTTTGGGGCAGGTATGACTATCATATTCTCACTATCTTTCGTAAGCGGTGCGGTATCTGGTTATGGTCTTTTAACAAATATTCCGGATTTTCCAGTACTTATACTTAAATGATTCGTGGCCTGTCGATAAATACAAGTCCCAGAATTACTTCCTACGCCTCATCGATTTTCAGGTTTCCTTACAGGCTAGCAATTTCTAATATATCACACAATGCCCGCCCCTTTGAGGTCTACAAACTTATCAATTCTAATATAGATGTATTCCGCAGTAATTAAAGAACATTCCAGGTCTAGCATGAGCCACGTTCCTTTGACAACAATTACATCGAGACTTAATCCATCCACCATCAAAATTGCCTCGGACGTTTTATTTCTAAGACTATGAGGGTGTGTGTAGCACGCATCTAAGGTATTTTTAGAGTCGTTCGCTCTACTCATGAAGACCACGGGAGCATTTTCTTTAACGACTTGATTACCGGAAAACCCTTAATCTTAGGGTTTGTTACGTCTTTTCACTTCCACGTTTTTTAATTCATTAAGGGCGCTCTGTTACTTGACGCGATCCATAGGTAAACAATCTGGTTGGATACGTATATTCAAATCACGATTTTTGAATGTTATGTAGTAAAATATCCCCTTACTCGTAACTTTCGAGTGTTACCTTCAAATCCCTTCTTGATTGAATATTGCCTCTGACCCACCTCCCGAGTCTTATTACTTTAGTAATATAAACTGCTAAAACTTCTCTTGACAATACATTACTGATGGTAGACTCTACTAAATTAAGTACGTGTGGACGCTTTTCAGTAGTCACATTTTACTCCATTACACTCCAAATTAAATTAGGAACGGATTGTACTTTTTTGAAAGTGATGTTTACGGCTATCCATCGTGCTGCCGTTTCCTGCCTGCAAACTACTGAGATTTTCTTTAGATGTATATGGATACGAGCTGTTTGACGCGGAGAAATTACTTCAAATAATATTCGGTGAGATCGATTTTGTTTCAGTCACACAACAGTCAAGACTTACTTGGGGATATGGTGGAATATTTTGTGATTCACAATGAGATTCTGACAAAAACTGATTAATGAAACAGGTGTTTTATATGGCTGTTTAGTCGTTCATTTCCCATCAGTCAGGACAACTACGTTAGAACTACCTAACACGATGAAAGTTTCGTTTGGGTCTTCAGGCACGTCCGTGAAAAAAAAGATGAACAATAACCAGTGGTATTTCACTTTCTATTCGTTTGTAAAGGATTTTTCTTATATATGTCTCGCAGTCGGGTGTTTAGTTCATCCCGTAATAGCACTTATCACACCGAGACAACCTTAGCTGTCAGTACTTATGTTAATATTCAACGTATAACGAGCGTTATTGCCGGCCAACGCCAAAAGTTTCATTCCCTTTTGTATCTGTAGCGTCTGTGTCGAACAGTAAAACATATAGAGCCGATGAAAGTAAGGTTTCATGTATATTTCCTATGCAGTGAGATTGAAACGGTTACAGATTCTGCAAGACCATTTTTTCCGCTCGTGACATTGCATCCCCCTATCCACAGAATTAAAGCTCTTTGAATGCCAACATTTATGAGGTGAGCCAACCATTTTATAGATATTTGCAAGGGAAAAGTAAACAAAGCACATACATAAAACAGTATAATAATCATCTCGAAAACGTACCATAAAACAGACTTAAATATAATTCCAAAATAAGAGCACAATACTAAATTTAGATGACATGAAAAATATAAATAAAATCTACAAGTACTATGAATATGGGCCTTGTTGGAAGCCACGCCAAGGTTAACCGACAACCTTGATATTTAATACTCACTCGTTCAACAAGAATAATCAATTTCTTTGTGACTCATAAAAAATTGATTTTACAGCATAACTTTAGTGTCTAGTAACTTCAAAGTCGCAGAATGTGTGAAGGCGAACGTCAATATGTCTTTGAACTACCATAACTGCGCCAGTCCTGTCTCTTGAATGAAGTGGAAATTATCTTAAGTGCATTCTGTCCTGACGTTCTCATTAAGTAAGCTTTAGTTCCGTCAAACAATTAAACATTTTATGAAGTTGTTCAGCAGCTATTGAAACTTTCGAACTCCTGAGTTAATCATAGTTTGATGCGGTCACTTCTGTTTCCTCCATGTTTGAGTGAGAATAACTCTTTCGGCGAATATATTTAATGACGTGTTTGAAATTTCACTAGCTAGACTGATCAATTATGAAATGTGATTTTTCAAATTGCCGACTTATTTCGACCATTATTCCCTAAAACATTCATTTTTTTGAGCACGTGAACATTCATTAACAGAACACATCAAACAACTACTGACACGGAGCACACAGTTGAGCTTGTAGAATGTCAAGGTGTTGAAAGTTCAACATCTCACCCGTGACGTTCTAAATACACAAGAGAAGCATATACAGCCATTGTGAAATCACTGAACCTGGAATAAATGTTGACGTAATACTGAATATGTTCATCATAACTGGAAGTAGTCGAATTATTGTAATAACTAGTATTTCCCTAAACAGTACCATTTAAGCCTGTCAGAAACGAATAAACACAAACGGACTGTAGCGGTAAATAGATCCCCAAAATAAATAGCCCTGTAAGTTTTCGACATTGGATGCTGACCATATGTTTTAGTGGACTCATCTAGCTGAAGGCGCTCGGTCAGGCATCCGCACCAGATCACGTGTGGTAACGCCGTGCTCAACATCTACCGCAATCGCTAGTCAGATTAGATCAGAGAATTCCGATATATTGGTTATCGCCAAATATACTATTCCGATCTCGACTCGGTCCTTTGATTTCTCTCGGTGGGTACAAATCATATTAGGAGGTGTTACTGGTAGAAGCGTTGTCAAACACTGAATACCTGTGACATCATCAGGAAGTATTGTATTTGGAATTCGTCATAAGCGGATAATCAAGTGCAAAGGAATCATTAGTTCGTACAAATACCATGGTGTAACAAGGCATCAATCTAATGAGTAGAATATTGGTGTATTCTAAACTTTAAACAATGAACGTCAGGCAGCTGTAACATTCAGATCAGTCCTATATTATACCTGTACTACAAAAGTTTTCTAAACACTACGAACTAAAAAACGACAAGATAACACCAAAAGATTTGCTTATATATTTTTATACCGTTAAGGATGGCTAACACCACGAAAAATCAGTTTAGAAATAACCCGTTAGGTGCTGATTTTACAAAGTAGTACTGGGAGCATTCGAGAGGTACATAATTTATGCTAACTTGGTTCTTAAACTGAGATTAACATCTGAACAGTTTCAGTAAAATCATTCCAAACAAACGCACGACTTACGGCTTGAAACACTATTGTCCGTAGGAGAACTCACACTCTAAATGATCAGAAATTAATTAACTCGAAAGTCACTTGTGATCAAGTTACAGACAACGTTTTCAAATGATTTCAAAAAATTAGGTCAGTTTCCAGTAGAGTAGCATAACGTTGTGTATTCCTCTTTACCTTCAAAGGGTTTAAACAAATTTGACGTATATGCGAAACGAGCCTCAAAATCCGGTTTTATTCCTACGTTTAAATGCAAAAAGAAGGGCCTGGTTAACCTAAATCTATAATATCAATTATTTGAAAATCTGAAGTAGTTTAATGAGACTTACAAAACCATAAAAAACCCTGAGTATTCACCATAACGTTAATCGTAAACAATATTGTTGGTGATAATAAATAAGTTCAGACACAAGACTCAATATTTTACTGGGATTACACATTCTACTAAATGACAGTGTTCAAGAATCGCAACTACCATCTACGGTTTTTGATCACTAATATGTCGAGATGTCTATAAACATTTCATCTATACACATTCGGTAGGAGAAGGAATTCTCTGAAGACCTACTCAATTTCTTTCCATGAACGTTATATCAGTCAGTCTTTCTTCGTGCATTGTATCTTATCCTTTTTTCCATAACTCATGAAAAAACTATTTTGTGGCGCTTAATGTTCTTTGATGTGGGCTTTATACATTGATTCAGTTGAAATTGGGAATTTTTATTGCTGTATGATCTCGAGCCATTGAAAGTAATGCCTAGTTCAAATAAACTCGACATAACAACACGCAGAGACTGGAAATTGTTGTCTTTCGGTTGCCAGCTAGGAACTGCCATTCGAATCCTTGGAGGTAGACACGTGGCCACGCTTTGTAAAGAAAGTCTGCATTGCTTCTTTGATATGCTAGCAATTCATTAGGCATTTTTGTGTTTAGTTTGCTACTTCGTGCAACAGTAACATTTGACAACATAGCTCAAGCTTTATTGTTTAGTATCATATGTCTTCATTCAGTATACTTATTTTTACATCAGAAGCACTAATATTAAGCACGAAGTCCGTGTCATGATATAGTTTTTTATGAATGACTGGCAAATTCTTCATATATTATTACATGGGTATCCGACTAAGTCGGATGAACTGCGTTTTCATCAAATAATGGAATATTGGTCGTTAGGCCTTTTCGACCATAAACACATGTAATTCTAATGGAGTGATTAACTTTACTGGTCCATCTTGGAAAGCATTTATTCATTCCGTAATTTGGATAATAAAGTAAATACGTTTGTCAGATTAGATAATTCTAATAACTCGCAAAAAAGTCCAAATGCACATGAAATTAAGACATTACACGGGGATCGCGAAAAGTATGCACTTAATGAACTATTGAGTTAAAAACAGAATTCCATCCAAAACAAAATTATCTTTAACATGTTGTACCTGTAGGAAGCTATATAGTTAGACGCAGCAAACAATTTGTACATGTGTCAAGAGCTTATACATCATAAATCTTTTGCGAAGCTTGCAAGATAATTCAATCCATCAGTGCAACAAACCAATAGGTCTTCCGTTGTAAATGACCAATAATAATATCTATAGCTAACAGTCTCGGAGTATTGAGACATACCATTTGAAAACCATACTATGTGGATGGTTTCGAATAATGAACTCAAGCAAAAATAACGTTTGTGCTGAATTTTCGTAAGCCAACCATGTAGTCATCTATTAAGGTTGGTGCATGAATAATGAAACCAGATGTTTTGTGATCGAGTGTACCTACTTTCTGAAAAATGTCACAACTAGCTGCAATATTCGACTCGATGACATGATGTTAACAAATTAATGACCCAAAATAAACACAAAACATATTTACATTGATTGATATAAAGCGCTGAGATGTGGAACTACATGTAGCAACATGAGTGAAAAAGACCCGATTTCCCCTCTGATATTTGAAAATCGTGTTAGTTCCACAAGTTGAAATCATGAGTCAGTTGAAGCTAGACCACCATTGAAAACCTGGAAGCACTGGACGGCCGTTTCGTCCTGGTATGGGACTCCACAAAACCCATTCTGATAATAATCAACTGCTCACTAGTGACTGACTTCAGGAAAAACTCCTGGAGTTCTAGTGAGAAGCCGTTACCAGTGGAGTTCAACCGGTCTGTTGTGAGATAACAACTCACTGAGGACAATGGTGTACGGTGGCGTAACTTCGTGGATTGGTTGAAGTTAGACATTAACACCGTTGGATGCCGGCTCAGTGGTCTAGTGCTCGCACGCGAAGCCAGCAGGTCCTGGGTTCGAGCCCCGCGTGGTGCGGGATCGTGGATGCGCACTGCTGAGGAGTCCCATTCCAGGACGAAACGGCCGTCCAGTGCTTCCAGGTTTTCAATGGTGGTCTAGCTTCAACTGACTCATGATTTCAACTTGTGAAATTTTTAAAACTCTCCACAAAACCCATCCTGATAATTGTGTTAGTCTCGAAAGTGCAACCAATGTTAGGTTTAATGAAACAATTAGATACGTAGATAATTAGTTTTATTCTGAAAACCAACGTTACTACAATATTCAATGCAACAGTTCTTAATCAATTCATAGAATAAGTAATTATTAATCAAAGTATATGCGTGTAATAATGAAGCTAAGTGTTATGCGAACCTTGTCTCATAAATAATAGATTATATAACTCATAGCAAAAATTTGAAGCTTAAGGAACTAGAGACTAATGATATTATCATTGTGAGTAACCGTTGTATGAGTATATAAGTGTATTTGGTTGTGTACAACATAATCTTTTCTATTTTATTATCATATTAAGCAAACATTTCAAATATATTCCATATTTCAACAAATACAATAACACATATGACAAATCATCTATGTAACCGCAATGATTTACATTAATCAATGTACAATACTGTAAATACAACTTCTATATTCAGTAGAATTTGTACTCATCGAGACAACAAATTCATGTTTTTTTTCTCTTTAGCTCTCCTTTCTATAATTTTTTTTTCTAATTCATATTAGCAAAAAAAAGAGAACGAATAAATTGATGTAAGTCTCGTACGTAAAAACCCATGTATTTATATGCAAGAAAAAGGAGTTGAACAGTTAACCCAACCTAAATTAAAAATGAATATGGAGTAATAAAATCGGTGAATGAGAAGACAACACGTTTTTTACTGTTATTTTCTAGGTTTTCATAGATGGAAATAAAAGTGGCAATCGACTCTTTTTATGTTTCTTAATGTCGATTTGATGAATCTAGTTTACTTAGACGAAGTGCCAGTTCGAGATCAGCTTCTTCTTGTTTCCGAGCTTCTTCCTCGATTTGTGCAAGACGTTGACTTTCAATGATAGCCCATGAGAGTCTTGCTTCATCAGATAACGGAACATCACTGCCACCACTCGCAGATTTCATATTCTTTATTTTATTTATTAATGATGGTGAAGATGATGATGGTGAATTTTGTGGATCCTTTTTTATACTTTTACCAGAAGGTTTCGATTTTAGAGTGAATGTTGATTTCTGATTAATTGAATTACTACAGCCAACACCAGTAACGCCACTAACTGAATGTTTACGATATCTTGATGGAATAGTAGTCATTGTTGACGATAATGATGATGAATTATTAAAGTCTGTAAAATCTCCATCAAAGTTAGCGGGATGAACTGAAGTAGGAAAATTAGAATTATCATCCACAGACTGTAAAAATAAAATAAGGGAATATAAAAGTATCATTAGTACTCAATATCAGCATGCGAATTGTTAATTTGTCCGATTTCAATGATATCGAGAACCAATCTAAGTTGGAAAACCACTGAAAGCCCTAAAGCACTGTATTGTACTACAAAACAGTCAGCATCTACAAGGCTGAGGATCGAAAACAGAACATTCGGTATTAAACGCAAAGACTAGACCACTGGACACTCTGAGCCACGATCCAACTGTGAACAAGTTTAAATTAAGTCAATTCATGATATTACGTAGCCGGAAATCGAATCCACTAAAAACATTGGTGAAACATAATGAATCAATTGGAGATAAACCAGTGTATACCGAAAGTTCAAAACTCGATTCCCGGATGATTACAGACAAGGAGTTCCGTAACACTAGGACAAAGCAGCCTACATTTTTTTCACGTTTCCAGAAGCTCATTAACATGAATCTGCTCGTGACATCAATAAAATATTATATATATATATATATATATATATATATATATATATATATATATATATATATATATATATATATATATATATATCGGGACAACTAATGGATGGAAATATTAGAATTATTCTAAGAATACTTATTGTATACCATCTCATTGTGTAGTTATGAAATTCTTGTCACAGGCTTTCATTCTATCTACAAACTATTATCATATGTTCTACCTTTCTTAAATTATCTTCAAATAATTAGGAACTATCATTAAGGTTGTTCGAATTATGTAGATATTATGATTTCTTAATTGTAATATTTTGTAGTGATTTAAATGATGTATAAAATACTAAACGTCTACTGAATCCAAAGAATATGGAAGACAGTAAATACAACAGTTTCCCCTTATTCTGATAACATTAAACTTATTGTATTTACTCTTTAATTCTTTACAGCTCTGAATTTTAATTCAGACTGACTGACGCCAAACTGATGTTATTTTTTCGCTTTACAATCACATAAAGAAAGTTATATGTACTAAACTTTTGTGTCAGTCAGTAAAATGGAACATTGAACCTGACAAATACATGCGTCGGCTAAAGTTGCCACATTATCACAGAGAGATAAATCTATCACGACAAGCCCCAGATTATTAAAAGTGGTGGTAGGATTAGCAGTAATTACAGAAAAGATTAGATGTAAAACAAAGTAGTACAAAGATATTCCATGATTCAGAAACTAAGTGAAGATGAAGAGTGAATACACTTGAACTACTGTAAACGATTATGAGCCACATTATTCTAAGTCTCTAACCACTGGTTACGAAAATCACGTGGGCTTCAACCAGGTATTTTACACCTGTTAACACACGAGTCAGTCCAATTGTCAGTGACTTCATGGAGTGATGCGGTGTTTTGGTTTGACCGCCCCTCGGATTCTTCCAGCTCACCCTTACACCAAACAACATCACCCGTCGAGGTAGGCAGTAGCTGGGTATATGTAACACATGTCCCAACCACGTCAGATGATGAGAATTCGTTACCCCATCAACCGAATCGACATCCTTAACTTGTACTCTATGCCTCACCCAGGCATTGCTTACTTTGTGTTCCCAAAACACGAACACTGTTTCGAAGACATCTATGGTCAAGTATTAGCAATCTATAAATATTTATCCTTAATAAACGTGTTTCATGTCCATAAAAATAAACAGAAGATTGAGGCTCAGTGAACCCGAACTTTGATTGACAGGTGGACATCTCATCTACAGTGCATCAAAAGGAGAATTTCGGATTCTATCAAATATTGACTATAATAGCAAACTTTATACCATAGATTTAATTCTGTCGAGCAATAGAAGATATTCTCATATTCTTTTACCTGTTTATCTTTTTGAAGCCTTCATTTAAAGAAGACAACTCAGAAACTAATTTGTAATAAGAGCATTCAGGAATTTTGAGTTTGTTTCGGAAGAATATCATAAGTGAGACAGATATCAAAAATCATAAGCAGTGAGTTTTCTAGACATATAAATCTCTAACACTAATGTTGGTATAATCTGATGCTGACAGTTCTTCAATCAAATTCCACAACCGAATAACATCAACTAGACAGGTGTTACTAACTAGAGCATATGAAGCATCTGAAAACCACTGCTATAAATAAGTAGTGGACTGAACAATCAGAAATAGGAGACAAACTTTATGATTAAATGATATCAAAAAGCTCCTTATTCATAGTGGAATTACTCCTTGAGATAAACAAAGTAAAAAATTAATAAAAAACAACAAACCAACACAAAGAAAACCTTGTATGTTTACGTCACAATATTTTCAATAACAAGAAAACAACACCTACTTTGAAAGCTCGAATAGTTTTACCAGGAGTTGGTTGAGTTTTTGGTCGAGGTGGTGGAGACTTCTTTACAGAATTCATATGATTCTTTATTTCTCTGTTATTAGCCATACTTGTATTCATCATAAATGAGGTACTTGAAGGTGTAAATGGATCACTACCAAACGGATCAGTCATGTTCGATAGCTCACCGTTGGAAGGTCCAAATACCTATTTGTTATTTGTGAATTTGAAAAGTAATTACCACTAGCAATTTAACTGATAAGTTTTATGTATGATAATCTCTTTATATTGCATACAGTATTTCTTTATATAAAGCATTTCAAATAAATCGAATTCGCATTTCATACTAATAAATATTATTAATAATGTTAACAGAGACAATTTTTATTTGTGAAGTAGTTTGCCTTTTCCGTTGTAGATATTCATGATTAACTGTGGTCAGTTTGTGTTAGTATATGAGCTCCAACGAGTAGACTGTTCGATGTTGATTGTATTTGATACAAATAGTAAGCAGATTAACTGCACATAAAGCCCGATTCGTAACGGTTAACCTTATTAAACTGTAGGAGTAAAAATGTAGAAAGAATGTCTCCAGGATCAGAACGAATGGTTTGTCTATGCTACAATTACGCATACAATTTGTGAAGATGGATCAAGCTATGATTAATAAAATGCCAGAAGAACTATGGTAATCTTATTCCTATGAAATTATTAAAATACCTAGTGGGAAATCAATAAAAACTAATAGTATCAAAAAAACAACATTTACAATGTGTTACTTAGAGTTTAACGTACAGCATCGAAATCTGCTCCAATCAATGAATTTTCTGGAAGTACAGTAGGACACACACTGTCCGGTTTAAAAGGATCAAATGCTGAGGCTATAAATAAAAATATGGGAAAAAGTGCTAACCCACTATTAAATGATAATTATCCTTAGAAAAGACTCTTGAATGCATGTATATTCAAAGTGATTTTGATTCCAAGATGAAAAGCATTTTCAAACTGAACTACTCGTTACAATTCGCTCAACAACTAAACAAATATAACATTCTTTTTCGAAAACTTGCATTATTAAATACGATATGTAGAGAATTATTAAAATGAGATGAAACAATTCAATATCTACAAACTGACATCATAATACCATAAATAAATCTCAAACAATTTGAAAATCATAGAATTCATTTCGAAAGGTATCAATATTGCAAGAATTCGGTAGTTACACTTTAATAGGAAAGAAACAGTTCATTGAATTCTCCAAATGATCCAATAAAAAGAGTTCGGTTTATTATGTTTAATATTATTAACAGTATCGTTACAATTTTAATTATTATTAGTTTAATATAAATCAGTGACCATTTACAAGAGATAGAAGAACTCGAAAAGAAGTCAAACTACCCGAAAATTTATTCATAAAGTGCACACTTCTGAAAAAATAACATTTGCTATAAGAAAATCAAATACATATCTCACCTTACCATTAGACCATATATGGTATGCACTCTGTAGTATTAAATGTATAACATAGTACACAGAAAGTATATAGAAATGCTTCAGTCTGATTTATTGGAAATAATGAACTAGGTAGGATTAGTGAGTCATTCATATATAATGTAGAAACTGGCACAAATTTCCATCAGTTGGAGTTGCTACACCGCATAAGTACAGAGAGTGCTATAAGTGGAAATAGTATTATTGATGGTAAAAAAAAAATTATGACCACAAAATGGGCATGATGGAAAAAAAGGATTTGTGGAGTAGGTTAAAAAAAAACTTGTCAAAATCAAAAAGAAACTTAGAATCCAAGGGAGGAGAAAGATTAAATGCAACTGCACCATTGCTAAAGACTCCGAGACATTTCATTTAGTCTCTAATCATTGGTTATACAAATTATGCAGACCCAAAACAGGTAGTATAGACTTGCTTACACCGCCCCGTCTAATAATCAACAACTTCATGGACTGATGCAATGTTTTGGTTTGACCATTCCTAGCTTTCCTCAGAACTATATCTACACCAGCCATTACCATTCATCAATGTATGTGATGATAATATGCTTTTATTAAATGCTACTAGTACAGTAAGTATACAAAATTTAAAACGGTGATGGGAAGTTTGTCAGACTAAACTTGTTAAAAAGTAACCTAGTGTACAAATAACTGTAAAGAAACATTCTATCGAAACCTTTGGGGAAAGTAACCAATAGAATCTTATATAATCAAGGATGGATAGTGGCTAGCAGTGAAATTCAGGACGCGCATTGCGTCCCATTTGGGACTCTTCAGCTAGATGTACCTGCATCTCAGCAAGTGGCTATCAGGACTCAGTAGCTAAGTGGATAACGTGATGGCATTTGAAGAGAATGGTACTGAGTTCGAGTCAACTCTGAGATGCAGGTACATCCAGCCGACGAGTCCCGGATACCACGAAACGCGCGTCCTGGATTCCACTGTTAGCCACTAACCATCCTTGTGTATAAAAGCTTGTGAATTAAGGCAATATCGGGGCATATACACAGTATGCACATATGCCAATAGCAGACTGATTAATCGCAGTCTTAAACCTCAATGGGAAGATACAAGCAAAACAATACCAAGTCAATAGAATCTTAGTTCAAATGCAACCATAATAAGAGATGTATTATTTGTTATATCCCAAGTCCAACCTTGGCATTCATACCTACATAATAATAATAACGGATATAGCTTACCAATAGTATTTGGGGTCTTTTTATCCTTAGCCATCTAGATATAGAAAAAAAAATAGGGAGACAAAGTAAATAATGTACTACAGTTTTATTAAGCACCTGCATCATATATATATAACCAATGCTGTGTCTTATTCCCAGGAAATGTAAGTTATTTCTTGATCAATCGCTTGTACTTATCATTTGACAGATTCCTGATTGGCCTAATGCATCGCCTTTACATTCATTTTGTCTGTACCAAAGATCAATTTTTGTCATATTAAAATTCTTGATTCATCTGCTGAGGTTTATCGAGCTTTCGTACTCCAAAAAACAATAAACGATTTATCGTGATTTTGTCACACAATTATGAATTAATCATACCAACATGTTGTGTTTTTTTCACATACATTTGCTCCGTAATTTATATACGTCTATTCACTAGGTCATGATGTAACATACTTATTGACCATCCATATAGACAATCCGTACATTTATTTCCTTGAAGGACGTATGGTATTATAGTCTCATAAACTTATTCCTCACGTACTATTGAACCATCAATGAAATAGTACATTTTTCTATCTGCTTATTCAATGTTCTTCGTATATCTTTCAGGTTAATTTATCTTTGAATACAGTCACTTTTTTGAACTAAATTCTTCATACTAAAGGCAAGGAGTTCTGGGGATATTTTGGTACAAGCCAACGGAATCTAATCTTTTTGAGATATGATGTACACATAAAGTCGTTAACTTGATTACTTTTAATGAGGGTGTGTGAGCATAAGTGTTCATCACTTTCTTTATTCACCACACCTCTGTAGATTTCTTTTTTTGTCTGATTATAATAAATGTTGGATCGCGTTTAATAAAATAGTTAAATTTGCCAATAAAGTTCACATGCATTTCTTTTGTCTCTTATCGTTTATCTACATTATCGAATGTTAAACATTTACGTTTATCAATTACTTTTGCATTTAAATTTTATATCAGCATTGTTATTAATGATGCTTGTCAACAGTGTACATAGGAAGTCGAATAGGATATATGATTTATTAACATCATTACCATTATACCTCGTTTTTACCATAAAGTAATCCGAAGGGACAATAAAAAATAACCATAATAAAAATACAATAATTTCAGTTTCAAGTATCAAATCCAAAGAAATTCCAATCTGTCTCCCAGAAATAAATAATTGTAGCGGAACTTGATAATCTAAGGATGTTTGATGTATTTAGTGTTTAATCAGAGGCTAATATATTTAAATTGATAACAAAAAATCGTTTTACTCGGCTATAAAAACCAGGTAAAAGCAGCATTTAAAGACAAGTTTTAACTAATACAAGTGACAACATATGGATGGATCGACAATGCGAAAAAGGTATTGATGGTTGCCATGTAAATATTCAATGCTAAATTAATTTGCCTTGAACATATACTGAAGATAATACAAATATAAGTTCGTCGACAAAACTTACATAGCGATTGGGTTTAGTTACTATCCTTTAACTTCTAGTTGTACGGTATGGGCTTGAAGAGGTATGCCATTAGAGCTCGGTGGTTCAGAAGGAAGGACATGTTTATCTATCTTAATGTTACTTTTTCTGTTTGTTGGCCATAAAAAATATGGTTTGCATAGGTCAATGAAAGCAGTTCCCTTAGTGCCTTGTTTTCCGATTATGGGATATTTCTTTGTTACGTACAAACCGTTGGTGATTTCAGTGAGTAGATAATTGCACTGTGTTTAATGAATTGCTTGTGACGAGTGTATGCGTGGGTAAAATGGATAGAGTTCCCGAATATCTTATAACAAGTTGATTGAGAAACGTGATCAATCGGTTTTTGTGTATCTTCTTTACTGATTAACTAGAAGGATGAAACTAATGTTGTGTCGAATATTAGTTTGTCTATCGTATAGCTTGTCTTCTTTAATTGTACATCGGAGTTCAAGGAGAGCTAATGGTGAGGGATCACTCCATTTTGTAGTATCAGGTTGTGACATTAGCGAGCTTTTTAATTGGAGGTGGAATATTCCCACTGAACTATTCTATACTCGGTAGACCATGGTAGTAAATTAATGGACTGCTAGGGGAAGGGTGACCTCATGAAACAATATCGATTGGAACTTGGATCCGCAATCCGTATTGATAGTGTAATTAACACCAAAGTTGAAAATCTATTTATCCAAGAACACAGAAGCAACAGTTTCGGCAAAGGTATCATTATAAGGACATACAATCCCACATCTGGTGAGGCAGTCGACGTCTATACACGTATATGTGGGAGATTTGGATAGTTGACATGTATTTGCTGAAGACGTTTAAAACTTATCTGGTTAGACAGCTGTGTGTCAGTGAATCTTACTTTGCTGGTAGTACAAGTAACTTCAAACACCTAATCTCAACATTCATTATTGCCCAAACGGAACGATCTGTTACAAAATTCACCGAGACCCGAATGCTAGGGGAGTGATGGAGAATGGAGACGCTGCACATTTCCTCCGTTACTATGACACAAATAAGCGGTACGGGGTGGAACGCAAAGATAGAATCCCAAAATGGAGTAGCATTGGTCCTAAGGATTAAATTAGACTATTCTATACAGACTCTCAAATTTGGATTATCTAGCTGGAGCTTAGCCAGCTTTGTTGAATAACTATGTTGACTTCGCTTATAGATAATGCATCTATTATTACGTTCGACAGATGTGATATCAGTGGTGAACTGATATGTCAAATCTAGCCATCTGATTACGCGATTTAAGTGCTTATCAGATGAGGTAATAAACGAATACCACACACATTTGGGGTCTGCTAGAATCGTGAAATCGTGACCTTGCGACAAAATGGCCAAATTTTTTAACTGATAAATAAACGGTCGATAGATCATGACTAAACGCGTGAAGATGTGTTTGAGCAGAATTTAGGCATTTGTAAAAGTATCAAACGAGTTATTTCATCGTTTAGTTGTTAATGCGTCAATTTATAAGACCAACTGAGTTGTAGAGTGAGTTTTAGGTGTTTCAACATAGGAGCACTCGATAATGTTGTTTTCGCGTCCCAAAAGGTAGTTTTCATTTAATGGGAGAAATTGAAATCCTCTTTATTCCCTTTGAGCAGTTTGGATAGAGGTTTTAGGATGGCTCTACATTCAAGTATCGAGTGCCGATAGAAATCCAACATAGCCACAAAATGCCATAACTTCTTACTAGAATCTTGTTAGGAGTAGCTTAATATAGTGGCAACCTTTTTACGTAAAGATTCGGTTTCGTGTGAGTCAATGTGATGTCCTAGAAAATCTAAGGTAGGAACACAAAAAATTTGTTTAGTGGAGTTGGTGACTATCACGTAAAGTTGAAAAAATTCAAATAAAGTCAGGAGGTACTTGAAATATTTGTTCGGTAAGGAACTGGTGATTAAAATATCGTCTATTTAATTTAAAAAAAAAACAGAACCAAGTCCTCTGGTGGCCTTATTCACAAAACTCTGAAAGGTTTGAGCCGCATTCTAAAGTTCAGACGGAAATTCCAGCAATTCAAGCAGATCAAAAGGTGATATGATTTTGTTTTCAATATCCACCAGTCTCATCGGGATTTAATAGGAGGTTCATATTAAGTCAATTTTTGATCATCTTAGTTTATATGAAAGGAAAGGAATCTTTTGGTAATCAATACAGGAATTATCTCGACTAATATGCTTTCCAAAATTTTAGTATCAATAATTATTCAATTTTTATCTAAAACTCAGTTTGCTTTCAAACTAAATCGTAGACGATTTGGATCCGCTTCAAATTATGTTGATGTAGATATTTTTAAATCATACTATTAGACGTATAACTTAAAACTGCAACTGAAAATCTAAATCTCACTAATCAACTATAAAACTTGTTTTTTCTGTTTCACTATCTGAAAATATTTTTGAAAACCAAAAAAAAGCTATCGTGATCAGTGTATATCACATGAAAAGTAACAATCGAACCAACGATAATCACAAGAAGGAAGTTATAGCAATAATTCTTTCTACATAAAAAAGTGTAGGCATTTATATGATATAAACAATTAGAATGAAAATTCAGAAAAACAAAGATATAGTGTGCATGCACACGGTCACAAACACACAAAGATGGTGTAATGCATAAGATTCGGCAACACTGAACAAAACATTAACACAAGACAAAAGAAATATTTTATAAACTAACAGAAAATTTCAGTTGTGTTAATATGATAAGATTCAATCTAGTATAAATTTGTGTATATATTTACACCTATTAGATATTTATAATCAGAAATTCATAGACATGAATTGAGAACAAAAGGTGACGATGATGTATCAACACCATATCGCACGATTTACTTCATTTGATTGACAAATATAACCGGTAGAGAACAGAATGCTTAATCACACGATAATTTTTCTCTGTAGAAAAATAATATCTTTGTTTGCGGACATCATTATAATAGGTTATTATTACTACTACTTATTAATTAACAAATTCATTTACAATAAAACTGAACAGCATAAAACGTTGCCTAAGTAGTCTAGAACAATGTTATTAGTCGGTAATATTACTTAACATGTTTTTACAATAGGTTGATCACTGAGTAGTGACCAATGTCATATATGTCAAGTCTTTCTTAATGCAGATCGAATTCTATTAAACACATTGCAATGTGACCACTAGCCTAAGTGAATAGTAATCGACAGCAAACCCTGGACCTAAATTTCATGCTATGTGGTACGTGTCAGCAAGATATACTTTCAATCTACCTAGTGATCAATCAGCTGTAAATACATCTCATTCTTACAGGAGGTCAGTAGCTACCTGGAGAGCTCAGTTGTAACATCTCTGACTTTGAAGCTGAGTGACAGCATAGAATCCGTCAGCGAGTTTCGGTCCCTTCAAGATTACAGGTGCCCCCGAATGCCCTGGTACGGCCGAGAGTGGGGAGAGTCCGCTCTCCCTCTCGAAATACTCTCACACGGCCACGCGTATACAGCCTCTGCCAGGGAAGTCCTACTCATTGCCTTCTCGTGGCGGGGGTGTTGTTTACGAAAA